TTTCATTGAATTTGTTTCCAGGATGTTTTTTATTTTTTTCTTGATTTCTCTGGTAACCCAGTCTTTGTTTAATAGCATGCTGTTTAGTCTCATGTGTTTTATATCTTTGTATTATTTTTATTGTAGTTGATTTCCAGTTTTATGCCTAGAAGATGATCTGAGAAGATGCTTGATTTCTGTCTTCTTGAATTTGAAGAGACTTTGCCTATTTCCCAAAATGTGGTCTATCTTTGAAAATGACCCATGTGCACTTGAGAAGAATGTGTATTCTGTGGCTTTGTGGTGAAATGTTCAGAAGATGTCAATTCCATCTGCTCTAGTGATTGATGTTTCTTTGCTGATTTTTTGTTTAGATGATTTGTCCAAAGGTGAAAGTGGGTTATTAAAATCTGCTAATATTAATTGTATTGCTATTAATCTCTCCCTTAATATCCTCCAGCAGTTTTTTTTTTTTTTTTTTTTTTTTTTTTTTTTTATGTATTTGGGTGCTCCTGTATTGGGTGCATATATGTTTACCAGGGTCATTTTTTCTTGTTGGATTGCTGCCTTTAGTATTATGAAGTGGCCTTCATTATCTCTTGTTACATCCTTCACTTTGATATCTAATTTGTCAGATATAAATATTGCTTCCCCAGCTACTTTTTTCATTTTCATTCGCCTGGAAAACCTTTTTCCATCCCTTCACCCTCAGTCGGAGTGCGTCTTTTTTTCTGAAATGGGTTTCTTGTAGGCAGCAGATATATGGGTCTTGTTTTCTTATCCAATCCCTTATCCTATGTTTTTTGATTGGGACATTTAATCTTTTTACATTTAAAGTTATTGATAGGCACTTATTTTTCGCCATTTTTATTCTGTACCCCTGTGTTCCTTCTTCACTTCCTATTTCTTCTTTTATTTTTACAACAGATCTTTTAGCATTTCTTGCATTGCTAGTTTGGTGGAGATAAATTCCCTTAATCTGTGAAGATCCTGATTTCACCTTCAATTTTGATTGATAGCCTTTCTTGGTACAGTGTTCTTGGATTCAGACCATTCCTTTGCATGACTTTGTATATTTTATCCCGTTCCCTTATGGCCTGACAAGTTTCTGTTGAGAAATCAGTTGCTAGTCTAATGGGGGTTCCTTTATATGTAACTTTCTCTCTCTGGCTGTTTTTTGGGGGGTTTTTTTGTTTGTTTGTTTTTAAATATATTTTATTGATTTTGTATAGAGAGGAAGGGAGAGAGATAGAGAGTTAGAAACATCGATGAGAGAGAGTCATCGATCAGCTGCCTCTTGCACACCCCCTACTGGGGATATGCCCGCAACCAAGGTACATGCCCTTGACCGGAATCGAACCCGGGACCTTTCAGTCGCCAAGCCGATGCTCTATCCTCTGAGCCAAACCGATTTTGGCATCTCTCTGGCTGTTTTTAAGATTTTTTTAAAAATATATTTTATTGATTTTTTTTTTTTACAGAGAGGAAGAGAGAGGGATAGAGAGTTAGAAACATCAGTGAGAGAGAAACATCGATCAACTGCCTCTTGCACACCCCCTACTGGGGATGAACCCGCAACCAAGGTACATTACCATGACCGGAATTGAACTTGGGGCCTTTCAGTCCGCAGGCCAACGCTCTGTCCACGGAGCCAAACCGGTTTCAGCTGCTTTTAAGATTCTTACTTTGTTGTTGGTGTTCACCAGTTTAATTATAATGTGCCTTGGCGTTGGTCTTTTTGGATTAATTTGCTTGGGGCTCTGAGCTTCTTGGATTTGTGTGGGTTTTTTCTTCTCTATCTCAGGGAAGTTTTCTGTCATTATTTCTTGAAACAGTTTTTCTATGCCTTCCTCTGTTTTCTTTCCTTCTGGATCTCCTATCATTCGAATATTGTTTTGTTTGGCATTGTCCCAAAGCTCCTGTAGGCTCTCCTCCTGCTTTTTAACTTTTTTTCTAGAAGCTGCTCTAATTGCGTATTTTTTTCCATCTTGTCTTCTAGCTCACAATGTGTTCCTCTGCTGCTTCTAGTCTACTCTTGATGCTTTCTATTGAGTTTTTTACAATAGCAGTAGCAATGTCATTTTTCATTTCCTTTTGGTTCTTACTCATATTGTCAAATTTGTCTTCCATTCTTTTTTAGTCATCTTATGATCATTTCTCTGAATTCTTGCTCTGATAGGTTGCTTGTCTCTAATTCATTTACTTCCTTTTCTGGTAATGCTGCTTTTCTTTCATATGTGGGCTATTTTTTTGTGTCCCCATGGTCTCTCTTTTCAGGATGTCTGTTTATGTAGTTCTCTGTCTCCTGCATTGATTTAGAGGCACAAAATACAACACAGTCAGATACAACACAAAAGGTACTAAACAGAAATGTATTTGCATTATTAATAACCTCTAATAATGGTGACTACTAGAGAAAGGCAAATTAGGGGATAAGAGAGAAAGACGAAGAAGAAAAAAAGAAAGAAAAAAAAAAGTAGTGTCGAAATGAAATTGGGAAACGGAGGGAGGGGAGGATAAGAGAGACAGAAAGAGACTAAGAGAGAAAAGGGGAACAAACTAAGAGAGAAAATTCCAATAGTCAACCACTAATCCCAGTACATTACAGCAACAGTACTTGGAGATTAATATAAACTATAATATCAAGCAAGGCAAGGGGAAACATTAAGTAAACAATAAAAAGAAAGCAAATAAAAAATACCAAGCAACAATAAAAAAAGAGTAGGCAAATCAATCTCACTAAAAAGCACAGAAATTCAATCTGATCAACATTCACGCAAACAACAACAAACAAACAAAGAGGAAAACAATTTTTTTTAAATATATATAGTTAAGATAGCGAAGAGAGTGGTGTGTTTGCACTTAGAGCAGGGGATTGGAAATTAGATATATAAGTAGGGTGAAAATTTTAGCAGGGGGTGTACAGAAAGAATAGGGAAAATATAATGCAGGAAAGGGTTAAGATAAACAGGCCACCAAAAGGGGAAAGGTTATGAAGAGATAGGGTCGTTTAACCCTATCTCAATTCAACCTATGGCATAAAGGTTGAATTGAGATAGGGTTAAACGATGCTACAGGAAAGATGAAAATAGAATGAAGAATACTAATCCCAATGTAAAATAAAGAGAAAATAAAATGGCACTTCATAAAAAGAAAATGGAAACAAAAAAGATGAAATAGTAGTAGTAATAATGATGATTAAAATTAAAAATGTAACTAAAAAGGTAAAATCAAGTGAGGAAAAAAGAAAAAAAATTGTTTCTTAAGTAAAAGATATAAAAAATGAAAATAAAATAAAAAATAGAAAAATTAGCATGAAAAATATGCAGTAGTGAAGGTCATTCCTCTGTTATTGTTTGGCACGCCTGTTTCTCAGGCCAAACAGTATTGCAGTTCCCTGCGTTCCACTGCACCTCGTTGTACGCTAGTCCTTATTTTTAAGTAGGCTGTTTCTTAGTTACTTATGTCCCTTTATTTTTGATTAATTAAAAGTAATAATAAAAGAAGTCAGTTTGTAATTCAGCCCCTAGGTGGCAGTGATTCTGGATTGACTTTCCCATCTTTTTGGCTGCTCTAGCCATCTTTTTCTATGTCACTCAATACCAGTGTGTGGAGATGGGCTGCCTCGGAGCTGGCTCCCAAGTGGTCTCTGCCCACTCTCATCCCCGGTTTCCAGAAAGGCAATTTCCGCCTGCAGTCTCCCAGGATATGACAAACTGGGTAGTCTTTGCTTAGTGCTCAGAAGCAAGGAGATGAGGAGGAACAAGCCCAGGTGTGCACAGGACGGGTTTGTGCAAAAGTTCAAGCAATCTGCACACCTTTCAAATTCTTATGCTCTCCCTCTGTGTCATATCAGATTTTAGAGATTCCCCTCTGTTAGCAACCTTGAGGACCCCCTTGCACAATCAGGGATCACGCCAGACCCAACAGCGAAGTGGGGAGGGGAAACTTTTGTGGGCACAGACTTCCTCAGGGTCTTGCAGCGTACGCGTTTCTCTCTGCCACGCTGCCACTTTCGGAGCCGCAGTGGCCGAGTAGCCACCGCCGCAGCCGGGACCCCAATCCCTCACGTTATCCCCGGCAAAATCTGACCTTTCTGTGGGTGAGTGAAGAACTCCCTTGAATCCGCATGTTTGCGCAGATTGGGGCGTCACAGCTGTTCAGTGGTCTCCACAGTTGTGGGTTTTTCAGGCCTCAGATAAGATCCACTTTTCCTTGCAAGATAGAGTAGTTTTCCCTCTGAGCCCGTAGCTCCAGGAGAGGTCTCCGCCATGGTGCGGGCTGCTTGGTCAGGAAACCACCTCCAGAAGTCCCCCACCTTCTCTTAGAGTCCTTCTATCCCTTAGCTTGCCAACTAACTCTCCCCGAGCTCCTTCTATCTGCTCTGGACTAGGCTCAGAACAGGTCCATCTGTTCTGTTGCCATTTTCCCTTCCTCCACAAAGGTGTTTCTTTGTCTGTGGTGGTGTTTTTTTGTTTTGTTTTATTTTTAATATATTTTATTGATTTTCCACAGAGAGGAAGGGAGAGGGATTTAGAAACATCAATGAGAGAGAAACATCGATCAGCAGCCTCCTGCACACCCCACAATGGGGATGCGCCTGCAGCCAAGGTACATGCTCTTGATCGGAATCGAACCTGGGACCCCTCAGTCCGCAGGCCGACACTCTATCCATTGAGCCAAACTGGTCAGGGCTGGTTTTGTTTTGATTCTTGTATTGTCTAGCACCCATTCCTCCCCTCCCCCATGTCCCTCATCAAGATATTATATTTAGAGTGTTGGATAGAATAATGATTTTTAGACTGCTCATTGCCATTTAAAAGGTTATTTTGCCAGAAGAAAATCTTGACTATTTCATTGTCGAGGACTTCCTTATTTAGCATATCTTGTTTTAAAATTTCCAGCTTATATACCTAAGATAAATAATCAGTATTGCTTTTTCTTCTTTTCTAGATTAAGAAATAATTTTTATCATTGTTATTAGAATTACATACTTAAACGGGTATTATTTTCTTTTCTAGGATGTTGGGAATCTACATGGATACTTTAAATATATTTATGCGAGTTGCCACTATTCTAGCAACTGGAAACAGCAGAAAGAAGTGAAGTGACTCCGTTTCTGACGTCGTTAGTGCATCAGGTTCCTGGCTAGTCTGATAGGGCAGGTATTCATTAAATAGTTTGTTCAAGCAGCTTTTGTTGAAGTTTAGAAGATAAGAACTTGTCATCATGTTTGAAATGTCCAGTAATGTGATCCTGCTTTTTCTTCTGGAGAATAAATTCAGAAGTTCTCTGCCAGATAAGCGCACATGTGTTCAGTTCTCATTTTTGAGTAATTTTGAAATGTTTTAATGAATGTGAAAACAGATGTTTGTGTTTGAGAATTTAAGTGTTTTATCTTAAATTTTGTTTTGTTTGTTAAGTAAAAATTAGCAAACTTGTGTTTACCTGTTTAGATTTTGAAATGCAGAATATTAACAAGCAATGTCATGAGTAGCGTGGAGATTTGGTAAAGGGACCAGAAAGAAAGAAAGGGTCACCTGCAGCCTTCCTTTGAATACTGGCCTTAGGACTTGCTATTTGGAAACAAGTGATCACTTTGTTTGTCTCCTGAACTTACCGAAAGCATTGAGCGCAAAACAAAGGCGTAGGTGATAGTATTGCCTGCTATTCCTTTTCAAGCCTCTTTCCAGTGTAGATGTGACCATAATGCTTCTCACTGTTTGACATTGTTAGGGCACTCCAGAATGTAATCATACAGAATTCCTGGTATAAAATATGTGTATGTGCAAGCTTTATCTTTGAATATTCTAGAACAAAATATTCCTTAAAATACTTCCTCACGATAAAATATTCAAAATATACCAACAATTGCTGAATTTTTTACATATTTATTGAAATGTTTAATAGAATACATGCTTGTTTTTTTCACCTCTTCAACTTTGCTTTAGTAGAAAAACCTGTTAGTGGTTTACACTATGAAGGCAGTTTTTGTTCTGAGACTTCGTTTCTGGTGTTCCCTCTCAGATAAAACACTAAAAGAAGGAAAGCAAAGTTACTCTTTCTTCATCGAGTATATCAGTCAGAATTGTAATGGGCAGAATACTTCCTGAGAGTGTCCTCTAGCAGAATTTTCCTTCTCTCCTTCAGAGACTTAGCTCTCCTGTGACATTTATAAATGTTTGAGAACAAAAGAGTTATTTTTGGAAGTTCTTACTGAAATGAGGATGATTATTGAAATGAATGGTGTTTTTTACAAGAATTTATTACAGTAATCCAGAAAAAAATATTCTAACCACATCAAGTTACCGAGGATGCTTATATTTGAAATATTAAAGGTTCCAGCCAGATGGTGATTGGTCTGTAGTTTTCCCATCTGACCATTTGCATATTTTTGGAATAGGCATTTGTTCAAGAAAGCGGCTTATTCTCTTCCCAATATAGTATATATTGTGCAGTGTGATTATGACCATGTACTGACAGCTGGACTGCCTTTATTTGAACCCCAACTCTTCCACTTCTTATGTGACCCAGGCATTATGTCACAGCACTGTTCCCATTTTCTCATATAAAATGAGGAGAACAGCAGAGCCCACCTGAAGGTGACATGTGCTGCCACTTCGTAAACACTGGGTTTGTTGGTTTTTTGTTATTTTCCCCCTGAGAAAAATTCTATTTTTTCCCTGTTTTGGTTCTGGTACAATGTAAGTGTGACCTTAATGTGAAATCTTAGAGGTCCTTTTGTCTTCAGTCATATCTTGATGCTTGGATGGTATCACATACACAAAACAAAATATAATTTTAAGCATGGCTGTTAGGCACAAGCTTATCCAGGAAATCAAGGGAGTTTTTTTTTTTTGGTTTTTTTTTTAGTGACCTAGTGTTTTACTTTTCCTGGCTTTGCTAAGACAGTGAAGACCTTTCAATAAAAAGTGTGTCTATCATGCTAGCTGGCCAAGGTAGGCACATCTCCATGAAAACAGCCATTGTTCATTTCAGTGTCAAAACGAGAAGCGAACAAAGGACTGAGTTTCCAAGCTGTCCCAGGAGGAAGTCTTCAAGTAAATACAGTAGTTACAGTGCACAAAAATGGGCATTTCATACAGCAGAAGGATGCGGAGGATGAGGAGGGACATGGAGAAAGATGGCAGGAAATGAGAAGCTCCCTTGAAACCTGGTTTCCTGCTCACAACATGTGTGTTCTGTGCTTAGAACACTGACCTCTTGGCCTTTTCTGTGCTCTTTGAAGTGTTAGCATCATGTTCCCTTTAAAGTTGTTCATATGTGTAGATGTGTCCACATTGGAATTCCTGGAACTAAATGATATCAGAGATTTGTATCATCCCAGTAGGGTGGGGGCATCTAGAGAGTCTGGTGTGTGTGTATTGTGTGCTAAGCCCTTTGCACAAATGATAACCTTCCTTTGAACTAGGTGCTGCTGTTTTCATTTTGCAAAGGATTACACTGAAGCCCAAGTTTAATCTTTGTAACAAGATCATATGGCTGGGAAGGAGAAAGTGGTAGAATTGAATGATCCTCCTAATCTGTTACCCTGAGAAGTTGGTGATGAATGCCATAGGACTGAAATCCTATTTGAGAATCAAAAGTACTGTACCAAGACAATAGGCAGGCTGGGATTCTATTGAGCATACCTAGGATGCTAGAATTCTAGTGTTTATCAAAAGGAAATTGACCTCGGTCAAATGGTGATGCTTTACTTCCTCAGGTCCTATTTTTTTATTTTTTTATTTTACTGATTTTTTTTACAGAGAAGAAGGGAGATGAATGGAGAGTTAGAAACATTGATGAGAGAGAAACAGCTGCCTCCTGCACACCCCCTACTGGGGATGTGCCTACAACCAAGGTACATGCCCTTGACCAGAATCAAACCTGGGACCCTTCAGTCTGCAGGACACTCTTATCCACTGAGCCAAACCAGTTAGGGCTCAGGGCCTATTTTTTTATAGAGAGTATCAGAAGTTCCAGTCAACTTGGAGCTACAAATCAGGCCTTTTTTTTTTTTTTTTTTTTTTTTTTTTTAAAGGTGAGTGTAGTCAATAAGATGACTACTCCCTAAATGTACTCAATTTATGTCACTCAAAATGGAAGCCATTTTTCAGGATAAGACATGAAGGCTCTGACCTGGAGGACTTGCTCTGCAGCATAGCAGCTCACGAAGATGGAGAGAACACTCCCAGTATTAACACTTGAAAGCAGCAAAGGGGCATTTTGTGTCAGAAGCAAAGATGAAGTCAGAAGTCTGATAGGGGAGGGGATGTGTGGACCACTGTCTCCCAGGGCTAGTGTCTCCCAGGGCTACTGGCCAGTTAGCATGAGGGAGGTCCAGCACAGTCTCTTCTGGCCTCCGCTTTCCATTCTGCCTGGTTCACAGCTAGTGAGAAGTCAGTCCTACCTTCACTGGAAGGTTGGAGGGGTGTTACCGCCTTGCCGGTGCATTTGGGACCTGGGGAGTGTGGCAACAACCCAGAATACAGGATTGATATTTTCTGGCAAGACTAAATTTTCATTTGTTCTCACAATGAGGCACACAACTCTGGAAACAAGTTTTTAAAAAGCTAGCTCTAGCTGGATTAGCTTGGTAGATAGAGCATCAGCCTGTGGACTGAAGGGTTCTTGGTTTTGTATTTTAAAATATATTTTTATTGATTTCAGAGAGGAAGGGATATGGAAGATTGGATAGAAACAGCCATGATGAAAGGGAATCAGTTGGCTGCCTCCTGCATGCCCCCTACTTGGGATCGAGCCCGTAACCCGGGCATGTGCCCTTAATCGGAATCGAACCAGGGATCCTTCAGTCTGCAGGCCAACGCTCTATCCACTGAGCCAAACCGGCTAGGGCAAGGGCAAGGGTCCTGGGTTTGATCCCAATCAAGGGCATATGCCTAGGTTGTGGGCTTATTCCCCAGTAGGGGGCATGCAGGAGGCAACCAATCAATGATTCTCATTGATGTTTCTATCCCTCTCCCCAATCAGTAAAAATGTTTTAAAAAATAAAAATGCCCTCCACTGAGACCCTTGTAAAAGCTCTCTGATCAGCTGAAGCATGGTGTCAGCTGGCCATGGTACTCCAGACTAGGCTTACGTGTGCGTGAAACACGTGGGCTACTCACATGTGTCCCAGTGGGAGTGCACATAGCATCCCAGCTGTGGAAAACGATTCATGTGATGAGAGGGTGGGCATGTCTTAGTTCCATCTACTCAGTAGCTGTGTTCTCGATGCTAAGATTCAGTATTTTTTACACTGTCAATTTCTTTCCTTTTTTTTTTTTTTTTTTTTTTTTTTTTTTTACATAACTAGTGTATCTTAAAATTAGTGGCATTTTAGAACTGAAGAAATATGGTATTTTCCATAATTTCCCAGTAGTTCATTATCCTGTAAGAACATGTATCTAAAGGATAATCATGGTAATCACCAGTAGCTATTAACTTTTCCCGATGATTCAGAGGGAATCTTTCACAAGACAGTACTAGCCTAGCCCCACCCAGTTAGATGTCTCATGGGCTTGAATGCAGAATGACCCAAACAGAAAGACCTCTGGACGCTGAGAACATGAGGGATGCAGTTTGATATAACTTCGTTAGGAAGATTCAGGGACTTGTTAGGTTGGTTCAGTTTGGTGCTTCTTGAAAGAACTAACTCAGCACCAGCTGTGGGGAGAAACATGAATCCTTGTGTCTGCCCTTTCTGCCCTGCCATCAGCCCAACTAGATAGAAGCAGGCCATCGGGAAGACACCTTCTGATGGGCAGAGGCAGGGTGGCAGCAGAAGAGAGCTCTCGGGAGGAGGCCGAGGCTTGGCTGGCTTGGAGCAGCCGGTGCTGGAAATGGAAGCTGTTAGGATCAGTGGGGAGTTTCCGGCACAAACACAACTGTCAATCACAAGTCACTCTTGAAGAGATCAAGTCAACAGATACATGTTAGTGCTGTATTAGATACATGCTGTTAAAATGTGAGAAATAGCAACAGGTGACGCACGGTAGTTATGAAAACCTAGAAACCCCAAAAGCGTGATCCAGATTGAAGGTTGCAGGAGTGCAGGGAAGGGACAGGTGTGCCACATGCCCTCAGGAAGGCAGGCGTCCCCCACGCCCTGCGCGGGCTGATGGCTGGAAGGGGCTTTCTGCTTTGGTCACACCCTCCATAGCATCATGGGAAGTATCCTGCCCCCCTTGCAGAGGACCCAGCTTCTGCTAGCACACCCAATGTGTCTGTGACTCTGCTTGTGTCGCAGGGTGTATCACCCTTGGCATCCTGGTGCCTCGGCAAAGGAAAGCATGTGACTTTAAAAAAAGACTTCCTCATTTAGGTAGAAGTCTTTTTTTAAAGGAAGTTGGAAAAATGACAAGATCGTCACTGTTAATTCTAAGTGGCAGGGAAAGGAACACTCAGTAGGAAAATGAGTTGTTTGCTACATTTTCCAGTATCTTGTAGCTGCCTCTAATTTTTTACAAAGAAAAGTACATATGGTGAGAAAATCCATTGAAACACACTTTTCAAAGATCCATGAAAGCAGAACATCTCTCCACCCTGAGGCCTTGGCACAGCCCATCTCCCAGTGGATCTGGACCCAGAGCCTTCAAGGTGCTTGTGGCCCTGACAGGTGTAGGCAGTGAGCCCAGGTTGAAGTTTCCCCAGGACTGCTGAGCCCTGGCCGCACCTCAGACCTCGCCCTGTCCCTGTGGCGCCAGGAGGGAGGGTGGGGATGGGGAAAGCTGACGCTTCTGTTCTGGGAAGCCTGCTGTCAACCCTGCAAGTCAGAGGCCAGACACTGAGCTAGGATCCATCCCAGGCAGCTCTGAGGGCTGGCAAAAGCAGAGACCTTGGCACCCCTCTCCCTGCGGCCACTCCTCATGCATGCTCTACAGGTTCTCCCTTCTCTGTCAGAAGCCTCAGCTGTGAACGATGCTGGCATCTTGTCATTTAGGCCTGAATTTTAGGGTGGTTTTTTTTTTGTCCTGAATTGTGGCAAGAGAAAAAACAGTCATTGCTCCTTATCAAGCATGTCAAACTTAAGCCAGCGGGCTACATACCTCATTTATTTAAATAAGGCATGATGAGAGTTTGATATGCTTGCTCTAACTGAAGAAGCACCATACCTCCTTGAACACAAGTGGGGCTGCTATTTTTTGGAGATAGGTTGCCCACACTTCCAACAATCAACCACCATCTAATAGATTATCTTCAGATACCAGAACACGTTAGCATTGCACTCATCACAGGATCTGTTCCTCTAGCTGCAGCTGCTGCTGTAATTTGGAACAGACACTGAGAACGGCACAGCTGTGCAGCGGCCCTAGGCCGCTCAGTGGCAGAGCTCCGTCATCGCAGCCCGAGGTCCCGAAGAGATGCTGTCGGACAGCCCAAGCCAGGGAGAGGCTGCCCCACCTCCGTTCTCTTAGTGCTCCTGTGAATGAGTTTAAATGAGGGGCTCTAGGCAATTGAGTTGTGATAAAGCTAGTTTATTAAAGCATGCACATTTATTAGAGAAGCAAGGCAAGCAAACCTATCCATCTGGCTTATGAAGCGCAGACTGGCGATCAGCTAATCTGAAGAGCAGGTTGGGTGGGAGTCCGAGGCGTTCTGTACCCTCCTGGCTATAGGTTTCAGAATAGCCCTGCTGCATATGTTGGTGCAGATTAATTCTCAAGGTTTCTTTTTACTTTGTTGTGGCCTTCCCAGGACACGAGGAGCACCTGGCAACTTTATCTTGTCATGCCTTGAGGATGCTGGCTTCTCTGCTTAGTAAAAGAAATGAAACTGCCGTTTCTCCTTTCTCCTTCCCCCTCCTTGCCTGCATTCTCTCCTGAGGGAGGCTTTAACCATTTGCTCTCAAAGGTAATGGCTTATTATTTGAAGGCCAACTGCAAATTACCCTCACTATTTGGTCTTGTTCCAACTTTCTTGTTTCAACTTCCCTATTCCTCCTGCCCTGGCTTGTTCCGGCTTCTCACTGCCCTGCAGCAGAGCCTGGGCCGTGTGGCTCTAAGGCTGTGTTACTTAGAAGACCAGGGTTCTGAGTCCCCCTCCAGGCTGAAAACTATGGGTAGGTGGGAAGGTGTCGGGCCAAAGGCAGAGCCTCCATGGAGAGGAAGGGCAGAAGGGCAAGGGGCTCAGAGGCAGTGGCCTCACGGGTGCTCCAGCAGGACAGGGAGTGCAGGCGGGAAGATGGCCCCTTTGTGTCCTGGAGCAGAAGGCGGCATTCCAGCATGAGTTCCGGGGAAGAGCCCAAGTCCTGCTGGCAGCCACCATGATAGGCAGGTGGCCCGCTGTCAGGGCTGTGGGTGGATGGCCCCCCAGTGGCGGGGGGGGGGGGGGGGGGGGGGAGAATAACAGGGAGGGTGCACAGCGTGTGGGGAAAGGAAGGGCCAGCCAGGCCAGTGTGGAGGGGACTGACCCCAGAGGCAGGCTGGAGGCTCACGAGAAAGCGCAGGTCAGTTGTAAAACAGAAGAAGCCATTAGTTTTTTGTGCATTTTCAGAGTGGCATGTGAGCTAGATCAACGCTGTAGAACCAACGCTTGAACACATCAGGAAAGAACCTCAGCTTTGGAGTCAGGCTGCTGCTGTTTCCTATGAGGGGAGGCATGTGTTTCCTGTAACAAGATGAAACTAAATGCTTGTCTCTGAGCTTGGGGAAGAATTCCATGAGAAAAGAATTGAAGGATCACTGAAGTGGTCCCAGGAGTCTGACCCCTCCTATTATAAATTCACCTGGAATTTGCTAAGCAAATAAAGGAGGGGGCGTAACTGCAGGGCAGTAACTGCAGGGCCAGTACCTGCCCTGGGGAGGAGTGATGGCCAGAGTGAAGGGAGGGACAGCCTAAGGTGCATGGCTTAAGGGGAGGCACTTCAGGCAGTCATCTAATTAGAAACCAGAAATTTGACTTGGAACTGGTTCCTTCCTGGCACCCCTGTGAGTTAGGTGAGCCTTTAAGACATTTTCTCAGGAAGCTGCCAAGTGTCAAATCATCTCTGGAAATTATTCAGTGCCTCAAACTTGATTACTTTTGTACCCAAACTGCAAATGCTTAATCTAACAGATGTTCCTTTTTAAAATGCTTCTCATTTTCACCTCTTTCAGCTCAACATATTCAAATAAGGCATTCTTTCTTTTTAAAAATAAGACATCCACAGCCATCTGTCTTTGAAATGTTAAGAAAACAGATGAAAATCCGAGTGCAAGGATTGTCTTCGGGGGTGTGGGGTTTTGGGTAGAACTTGCACGTTATACCCTGTGTTATTAAATTACTGCAGGCAGAGGTTGCTTAAGTAACTTCTAATAAGTATTTAAAAGCAGGTGGGATGCTGACATCTGAATCCATCCTTCCAGCCAAGTATGCACTCCCAGGAACACCTGCAAATCTGAGAACAGTGTGTGTGGTTGTGCAGGAAGCAGAAGCTGAGAGAGCCAGTTGCTCCTGCTCTTAGCTGTCAGTGCCCTTATGATCCTGTTCTGTGTTGAGAAGCTGGCATCTATTTCTGACTCAATAGCTGGGTGGCTGAAGTCCTGCAAAATTACCACGGCCTGGACCTTGGGAGCAGATGAGTACCTCTCTTCAGTAGGCAGAGCCTCGCCTACTGTCTCTGCCATTGCAAAGCAATTAGAGTTCAAGTCCAAGTTTGACTGCATTTCTGCCCTGCGCCAAGTTTGCTGGTACAGAGAGTAGCTGTGACAGCAGGCAATGGGTGAGTGCAGCCAAAGGGATGCTGTTTCCCAGAGGACTTGGTGGTGGCACCCCAAGTTACCCAATAAAAGTAAAGCAGTGGCAGTAGTTCTTGATAGGAACCATGGCTGTATTCTAACTCAGGAAGCACCTGAGTTAGGACAGCTGCTGCTGGTAGATGCAGCTCAAGACAAGTCCACCTCTCCCTGTCCCTTCTTTCAACAATGGCTGCCCTCAAACCTCTCCTGGCACCAAGACTGGCGTTGTTTCTGGAAAACACCCTCCCCCACTCAGATCTTCCTGGCCACACCCTGAGAGGCCATGCCCACTCAGCGATGCCATCAAGGCTGGGAACCGCCTGGAGGGAAAACCAGAGTGGGACTGGGTAACTATCAGCAGGACGTTGGACCTCGAGCCAGCAGCCCCTTTGTGTGGATGGTTTAAACACACAAAAGCACACAGGTTGACTGTCATGACATCCCCTGGGCCCTGATTGGCTCACTGAGCTGATGGACACTTGTCTAAATTGTTCCCTGAGCTCCAGTGGGGGAAGCTGGGGAGGGCGTGGCTGCCAGTCCCAGGCAGCCTGAGCATCTGCATGGGCTGCTGGGAGCAGGGGGCCTGGGGGCTTGAACCAGATGCCACAGTGTCCCACGCACCAGTGGGCTTGAGTGGAGCCTGCTCTTGGTTAGAAGGGCACACACTGGGGCAAAGGAGAGGACCTGAGAGCACCAGGGGAAGCACACTGGATCTCACAGCTACCCCACTAAAAAAGCCCAAGGCCACTGCATGCCTTCTGCCTGGGCCTAGCACTCAGCCCACACATACCTTGAGGGCCCACCCGCAGGCAGGCCCTCCTCACACCGAGCTTCTCGTTGACTGGAGGAAGGCAGTGCTGCCCCTTCACCACTGGGAGGCAGCGCAGGCTCCGGCGCTGCTGTGTGGAGAGCAGATCCAGCCTGGCTCAGCTCTGGCCCGGAGCCTCTGCTCCCACATCCCCAGTGCTCTCAGCGCTCCCCAGGCTTTGCCAGGGGCTTCACCAGCCGCTCCTGCACAGCTCGGCAGCGAGCGGGAAGAGCTGCATGGATGAGATGATCACAGACACGAAATGTTAATGTTCAACCCAGGGAAGTGGCTCTTCCTGGCAAGTTTCCTGCTCTGGCCACCGAGGCCCCTGGGAGCCTGGGCTGGCCCGCAGCTCTGCTTCCCACTCACTAGAGGCTCTCACCTTCCTGAAAAGCTGGTTTTTTCCTTTTGGGAGGGGCTGACTCTACTCTTTATGAGAATTTCAAGGCTGCTGCGCCCTGCCCATTTGGGAACACCTCTCCGGCACTCGGTGTCCTTGGGAAGGATTTCCGGGGCGCAGCTGCCTCCCGGACAGACGGAGGCCCGGCCGCACCATGCGGGCTCTAGTCCTCTCCGGCCTGCTCTGCATGCTGCTGCTCTGCAACTCCGTCTTCTCCACGGAAGGTAGGATCGTGCGGGTGTCAGCGTCGGGAAGGCTGGAATCAGAAAGGTGGAGGCCAGGCCCCTGGTAGGCAGGCCTGGGCCCCAAAGTCGTCGTCCTCCGGAGTCTCTGCAGCACTTCTCCCCAGTGTCACTCCACGGCCATCATCTCACAGCTCCGGGGCACAGGCGGTGGGAGGGCTCCCCACCAGGTGGCTCTGCACCGCCAGAATTCACGGGCCACTGTGCCACGCTCAAAGCTCAGTAAATGTGTGTTGAATGTATAAATTAATAGATTATCTGAGTCTGAACATTTCCCATACTCATGCACATAGACGCTGTGGCAGAAGGCATGAGAGGGCACACGTGGGGTTTAGAAGTTGGGGGCGATCCTGTGTCTCTGTGGATATGAATATTTTGTAGATAGCTGAGTATTTTGAGCTTTTTCTCTTACCTACCCCTCTAAAAACTGCCTATTTTTACTCTTGTGTTAGTAAAGGTTACTGTTAGTTACGGTTAGTTAACATTCATTGGGGTTGGGGATGAAGAAGTATGTATATGGGTGAAAACACCCATCATTTCATGCTGCGAGAATAGCCTTGTTCAACATTTTGATTGTTTCTTTTCATTATTGCATGCCAGCCATTTTGTTCGAGGTTGTGTCTTGCTTATATGATGCTCACCAAGCAGTCAGGATTGGCTCCTAGGGCGTTCACACCAGCATGCCAGCAGCAGTGATCTCTGAGCAAGATGACAGGAAGGGTTTGTTTCCTGACGTGCCTGCAGGGACATGGGCGTCTAAGACATGGAGCCAGGCTGGCATCCTCACACACAGGGCTGGCAGTGCAGACAGACCTCCGTTCACCATGTTGGAGGCTGCCACTGCTCCTTCATGAGGATTTAATAAAGATAAAGCTCTTTCCCCATTAAGTTTCCTGTCCATTTAGGAATATCTCTGGCAGATTCTCCATAGCAGTGCTATTCAACTAATATTTTTTAGGTATAATTTGCCATCAGGTGAATGTGTATGATGAATTTACATGCTTAGACATTTAGATGGTTGACAACTTTGTACTATTTTAGGTATGTGGCAAAGGCATATGTGTACATAAAATAATTCCTATATTTAGGGTTATTATCTAAGGCTCAATGGCCACGGCGAGAGCCATGTCTGCGCCCTGAGCCGTGAGAGCTGAAGCTCACGCCAGTTATTCCCGCACAGACCAAGCCCAGTGCTCCCCACCCTCACCGCCCTGTGTCCGCCCTCAGGAAGAAGGCATCTTCGGCCTCCTGCCAAGCCCTGGAAAGGCAAGCCCTGCTGTTCCCAAGTTCCTGATCCTGCCCAGAGGACCCAGAAAGGTGAGCACTGCACCCTGTGGGCCATGTCAGCCCCGCCCAAGCCGGCGGCCTGCCGGGTGTGGAGGGGCCATAGACAGGTAGGATCACTGTGTGGGGCTTCCCATCAGTGGGGAAAACTGACCACCCCAGCTCCAAAGTCAACAAATGAATCATTTTGAACTCAATATGTTCTGTCAAATGAAAAAACAGGATGCAATTAAGAAATGGGGAACTGCCGAAACCGGTTTGGCTCAGTGGTAGAGCATTGGTCTGCGGACTGAAGGGTCCCAGGTTCGATTCTGGTCAAGGGCATGTACGTTGGTTGCGGGCACGTTCCTGGTGGGGGGTGTGCAGGAGGCAGCTGGTCGATGTTTCTCTCTCATTGACGTTTCTAGCTCTCTATTCCTCTCTCTTCCTCTCTGTAAAAAATCAATAAAATATATTTAAAAAGAAAAAAAAAAAAAGAAATGGGGAACCGAGGGTGGAGGGAGAGGGTGCAGGCAAGGGGTCTGTGATGTGCAAGAGGAAGGCATGGAGGACAGGGAGGTAGTTGAGAAGTGCTCATGGAAGCTACCAACCAAGGCAGGGCTGGTCTTGGAGCTGGCACAGAGGTCGGGCAGATGAGGTCGGCAGGTCAAGAGTTCCGGAAGTACAGGCAGGGAGAAGGCCTGGGCATGGCTGGGTGGCAGAAGGCATGCAGTGGGGAGGCTACAGGCACCCAGGTCCCAGCCAGGCCAGGGGTAGACTGACGTGTGGGCATGGGCTGGCCTGGGTGAGAGGTAGGAGTGCTGGACCTCTGCTGACCTGTGGTAGGTGGGTCCTAGAGCCTGGGCTAGCACAGTCCTTCAGGGTAAGCTGCAGAGCCTGCCATCAGCCAGGCCTGACAGAGCCAAGACGGTCCCCACACCCCAAAGCCTAAGGTCCCCTCCAGGACCGATTCAGGCACCAGCTCCTCTTCCACTACCATTGGTAATGCAGGATACAGTTTGACATGCTCGATGTAGAGCAGTGTTTCCCAAAGTGTGGTACGTGTACCCCCAGGGATACAGGAAGAGTTTGGTGGAGGTACGAGTTGCACCGGGGTTTGGTGGGGATATGCACTGCACCATGCTTAGCTGCGCCTAATTCTACGTTCTCATGATACTCAGCGTTACGAAAATTATAGAAGAGGTACACATATGTCAAAAGTTTGGGAAACACCGATGTAGAGCAATGACTGTTTCCTTGCTACAATCCAGGACAAAAAACCCTCACTAAAATTCAGGCCCATTAAGTACCCTCCATTCCCATTCCCGCTGGCTCTCTGCACCTAGGCCTGACCACCTCCAAGAGCCTGTGCACCAGAGGGAGCTAGTGGCTCAGCCTCAGGCCACTCTTTTGAGGAAGGGCATCGCCTCCCGCAGGGGCCAGTAGAAGTACCAGACCTCACACCCTGAGCCCAGGGCGCCCAGCACCCAGGCCAGGTGGAGAGTGAGCTGCTGACTGGCTACCTGGAGCTCAGCTACCACTTGAGGCCCAACCAGGTGCAGGAGGTGTTTCACGAAAGAAATAAGGCAGAAACCTAGGGAAGAGCAGCAGCATGTACCCATGCTCAGACCCTCCCCAGGATGCCCCTGCTTGGAGGTGGGAGGGGAGTTAAGGATGTGTGCACACCACATGCTAGCACACGTCTCCCGAGAAACAGCCAGCGACTGCTGTGCGCAGAGCCAGGAGATGGTGAGTCACACAGGACTCCAGAACACCCTTGTGCGGGCTCTCGTGGTGGTCGGGGCTTCTTTCAGAGTGTACATGTGTAAAATTCCATCGCAGAGATTTGAACAACTTAGAACAAAAAGAGCAAAACAAACAGTTCTATTATGTCCTTAGCAATCTTCAATTAAACCCAGACCACGACGGGAAGCATGGTCACTGCTTCACAGTGAGTGCGGAACTGAGGGAAACTGAGTCTGAGGCAGAGCGAGGAGTCCGGCGGGTCCGGACTTCCCTCTGCAGCCACTCTCCCCACCCCTCCGGCTTCCCGCAGTGCACTGGTGAAGCTATTCGCGTGCCCCAGGGGACCTAGCTCTCACTGTGGCCGTGGCCGTCAGCCACCTGCGCCCCCCACCCGCTCCACCCACTGGCCACGCACTCCTCACTAGGGTCAGCCTCACCGCCACAGTGGAGCCCGAGGTCCTGCCTGCCCTCCGGCCCGCTGTTATGGGGAGGAAATGTGAGCGGGCCAGGAGGGCGGTCAGGAGGGAGCAGCAGCCATGTGCTCTCAGCCAGGTGGGGCTCCTCGTGTGGCCAGCAGGGGCGGGTGTGCCAGCTCTGCTCCCCGTACTGACAGGAGTGCCCGTGGCTTGCCTTTGGAGAGAGAGCAGAACCAGGTGGCCTGGAGCGGCCCCTGCGCCCAGGTGGGCGATGGCCCATGCGTGGACATCAGCTGCTCCTCAGCCTCCAGGCTCTCCTGAGCTGTTTCCCTGCAGGTGCTGCACTCCGAGGGTTGGGGAGGGGGCGGGAAGGGGGTAGTGGGTGGAACTGGGACCAACAAAATCATCTTCAAAAATCAATGTTCTAGTGGCCAATTGCCGAAGTTACACAGACCAGTTTACCAAAAAGGTCTTTTTTCAGTGTTAGAACCGAGTAGCACTCTGCCAGCTGCAGTTCTTAAAGCAACGTTCAACCTGCTGGAAGGGATCAGATGGCAGCTGTTTTGGCCCCACCTCATAATAATCCTAAGTGTTAGGTACTATTACTATGGCCATTTTTACACATGAGGAACCAATGCACAGAGAGGTTAAGTAACTTATTGAAGGTCACACAGCTAGTAAGTGGTAAACCTGGCTCTGCCCAAATGACCTGGCTCCAGATCCTATGTTCTTACTCTCTCACTTCCTTGCATAGAAATAGCCTGGAAACAGAAGGAGAATAAAAGAAAAGAATAATTTCATTACCATAAGTTAATAAGTCTCTCATTCGTGTTTCCTTTGTTTTGTCATGCAAAATGTTTGCCTGGTTTTATTTTTATTGTATATCATCTTTTAAATTTTTAAATTCACACTATATCATAATCATTTTTTATGTTGCAACATAGTCTTCATAATCATAGTGCTTTATTATTAAATTTTTCCACTGTTGAAGACAAAACTCTGAAGAATACCTTAGTGCATGCAGTTTTTCCTTTTTTGTGGGTTGTTCGTCCCATAAATTCATCCCAGTTCTGTCACACATATTGCCGAAAGATGGTCTGAGGGTGCGAGGGCCTGCATGCACGTGGGCCGGGCCTCCACCCGGCTCCTCAGCCTCAATGGACTCTGCTCTTGGCAGAGCCAACCAAGCAGCTCAGCCACCTCTCCATCTCCTGCGAGGAAAAGCCTTGGGCTGTTCATGCTTGGAGGCCTTGTCTGTGCCTTGGGGAGGAGGGTAGAGTTTGATCCATGCTTTGACTTTTTAAAGATTGTGTCTAGAAGTGAATCCTAATTGTGTTCCCCTCTCTCCACCCCTGGCTCTGCCTGCCATGACTGCCTGTTGCTCCTTCCCAGGGCACCGCGTGAGGATCTGCAAACCATGCAAGTTCAAGCCAGAGTTCAAGCAAGTTCAAGCCTTCTGGGTGGTGCCCGGGGCGCTCCCACAGGTTTAGTGTTTCCCAAGCAAGGCTCGGTTCCTGAGGCTCCCTGAAGCCCCTGGCTCCCCTCTGGAGCTGGGACTGAGGCAAAGGCCCTGGAAGCCTCTGCCCCAAATCACCGGTCTCCTCCTTAGACACACCATTCCCTGCGCCAGGTTGGATTGTTCTTGCCCTGCCTTTCAGAAAAGCCACAATAAAGAAAGAAGAATGCTTGTCTTTCTGAGTGTCCTTGGACAATAACCTAGCACCTTGGGACTCACATCAGCATCAGAGACAAGGCCAGGGAAGGCCCCCTTGTCACTATTCTGAGGCCTCCATTCTCCTTCAACCTTCACTGCTGTGAGCTGGCTGTGGGAGGGCTTCCTCTTGGACAGCAGGGCCCTGGGAGAGTTCCAGAACCTCAGATCCTGATCCCATCATGCCGTCAGCCATCAGAGTTACTGTGCACCAAGCTCAGCCCAGTTTGCCTCTGTCCCCACCTGGCCTGTGGCACAGACAGGATTCTCCCGGGACATGTGCAGCTATGAATCCAGAGCCTGTAGTGCCTGAGGGTACAGTGAGCAGGCTCCCCAGGGCAGCTGACTGGCTGCAGGGCCCCCACTATTCCACACGCGCCCAGCCCCTCCACTTGTATCCAGAGGCCCCTGAGGAGTCCTTTCCTATCTTCCCCATGAGAGTCGGCAGGAATCTATAATAATCCTATGTAATAAGGAAGGAATATGCTAATTGTCTGCCCCACCCTCAAAGATGGTGATGATATCCACAGCCCAAAATGGCAGTGCCCAGTCTCCTCAGCCCCACTGGGGTGGCAGGCACGTGGCAAGGCAGAGCCCACCTAGGGCTATTCTATGTGCCTGCTTCTGGAGTTCCCCAGTCCCCTCAGCACCCCCTCCAGTCGCCCAGGGCCAGCCTGAGGCGCAGGCAGCCAGGGCCAGTCGAGGTTTGTGCTGCCGGCAGTGGCAGCAGCAAAGGTGTGATCACCTTCCCCTGATTGCCGGGTCGCCTCTCACCCTTGAGAGCTCCCGGACTGTGAGAGGGACCTTCCTCCAATACATGAATTTTCCTGCACTAAGCCTCTAGTAAAAGAGTAATATGCTAATTAGACTGGACAGCCTAATGGCCTTCCTGATGACTTTTCGAAGGAAGGCTGGGCTGCAAGGGCCATGCCCCTTGCATGAATTTCGAGCATCAGGCTTCTAGTAAACAATAATCAGACAAATAAATAAGCAAAATGCATGGGGCATCCTTGTTTGGGCAAGTCTGTCAGAGGATGTGAGCCCCAAGATTCTGCTCAAGGAAAGCCCTTCACCACAGCACACCCAATGGAGCGGGGAGAATGGGAACTAGCGAAAGCAGCAAGGCCTGTGCCAACACCCTAGGATTCAAGTCCCAGCCCTGCCCATGATTCCTCTTTTTTGTGAAATAAAGCTCACAGGACCTACTTAGAGGACAGACAAGAGGCTCCAACTAGAAGATGGATGTAAAGTGCCCACAGACAAAGGGCTTGCTCACAGGAGCGGGGGTGGGAGGGTGGGCTTGATTCAGGGAAGTCCCTGCCTCCCTGCCCTCACCCGGAGGAGTGTTTGTGTCCATGGTGAATGCAGAGCTGCAGGGCTGGGCCTCAGAGGGGCAGATGGCCTAGGTCTGAGAGGCTTATCTCTCAGTAAAGCTCCCTTCAATCGGATTCTCCTGCAAGGTGAGCCCCACACACGTCAGCCTGCCAGGCCGCCAGGTGCAGGGCTCATGGGAAGCGATGCTCTGTGCAGCCTCAGGGACGTGGCCCCAAGGCAGCCAGCAGCCCTTGCCTTGCTTTCCAAGCCTCAGTCATGGCGCATGCCTCACGCATGCTTTCTCACCCTCCCGGTTGGCATTGGTCAGAATGGGAGGCTCTGAGGCCCTGAGGCTGTGGCTGAGGAGCCATCACAGTCCCACAGAGCTGTGAACACCGTGGGGAGGGATGGGGAGAGGAGGAGCCAGTGCCCGAGCTGAGTTCTGGGGGAGCTATAGCTGGGAGAGAAGGTGTCTGTCTGTCTTTGGGGTGAAGTAGGAATGCAGCAAGGGCCAGGCAGGAAAACTTAAGTATTTGGGGGGAAATCAGCAACTGGACAGCAACACCAAGGAACACAGAGAAAGGGGGGCTTCACTCTGAGGCCTGTGAGCCCCTGGAAGCATCAGATGTTTAGAGCTTATGCTGAGAGAAGAGCCAGAGCCGCTGTGAGCAGAGGCGAATGCAGGCAGGAGAGGGGCTGCTGGGATGAAGGCAGGACAGCGAGCCAGGCAGGCGGGAGGGTGAGACGTGGCAGCTTATGGCAGCTTGAGGGCTGTTTGGACGAGACCATTCCTGGGTGTGCAAGGCTCCCAGAGAGCTTCCTCGGCAAAGGGACCCTCACCCAGCAATGCCCGAGGCCAGCCCTGCTGCCTCCTTTATTCTCCACTCCCACACCCTCCGAAACAGGAAAAGAGAAAAATCTTACACAGAAGTAAACACCTGTACCCAAGACTCAACCAGGAGGAACCACATGCCGATGGCTGAGCCAAGTCCCTCTTCACACTCAGAAAGCCCCGGTCTGAGGCCCAGCCTTCTGAGCTTGCAGTCGGAAAGGAAAGTCAGACATTAAATGCACAACCAAGGGTCCGCACTGCCTGTCACTACTTGAGCCAATTAAGCAGCACTGATTAGTCCAGTCCTCCTGGCAGCATGGGGAAGCAAAAAGTCTGCTCTGCCCCACCTTAAGCCACTGCTTATAGAGGGAGAAGGACAAAGGAAAGTAGACAAAGGGCAAAAGGGATAAGTCCTCTAAAGGCTCAGCGATATGCAAGGGCTGGGGCTACCTGGGAAACAGCCAGAGGGAGCCTGGTTCCCACGCAAACAGGAGCCTGCAGAGCTGAGGGGCCCAGAGCACCCTCCCCTCTCACCTGGGGAGCCGCCTCCCGAGCTTGCCACATGGGTTTGAATTGGTGAGTCTACAAGATAATCCTGTGCATACGGTGACTCAAGGCTCTCAGGGACCATTTGAGATGACAAGGAAACCTCAAACATCTGAAAGTGACTTTTAGTTAGAAAACTGGACTTCTCAGCAGACCTACTCCTTGAAGAATCCAGTCATGTTTGCAGGTTACAGTGGTGCCATTAGAAAGTGTGCAGTCTCCATGGCAACTGAAGGGGCTCACACTCCCTGACTGTGGGACCCTGTACTGCTGACAGCTTCAAGCTTCCCAAACAGAGTTGGATTCAAATGATGGCTCTGTCATGTGCCCACATGGGCCTCAGGTTCCAGGCTCTGCAATGAGACTGAGAGCCTCTCATGGAGAGTAAGTCAGACGAGAAAGGCCTGGTTCTGCAATAGAAGCCTAATGGTCACAGATCTGCTTCCACCAAACAGGACCAGGCTTCCTGGAGCGGGCCATTCCAGCCACTGCAGGGCCTCCTGTTGGCAATGCACACCTACAGCCCCTTGTGCCCACCCCTCTGCTGACTCGTCTCCCAGCTCATCTTGGGGCAAACTGTTGAGGTGGCCCTTCCTGGGGCTTAAGAGTCTAGGACTGGTCTGGTCAGTGCTCCACAGACACCCCCCACCCCACATGGCTCAAGGGACCCTGCAGCACTTCCCTGCCCTGAGAATAGCAGGAAACTCCCGGGCCCAGCATGCTACCCTTCCGTTTAGTCAGGGGCTGGCTCTGTGCTTACTAGCAGCCTGGTAGCCTGCGCCAGCTCCAGAGGCAATTGGTAAGCTTGCTGTCAGCGGCTCCATCCCAAGAAAATGTCATTGGACCATCTGTGGTTAACCTGTGGAAGCCCACTGCCCCCAGGGACCTACGGAGTGTGAACCAAGGTAGGAGGTGTCAGGTTTCAAGATATCAGAAGGAAAAGGTCCTTTTCTATTTCGAAATGCAACTTTTTGTTCAACTCAATGATTAAATATGCTGTGGATCTGAACATGGGTCGTGAGAAGGGGTCTCTACCCTGTGCTATTCGGTTGAGTCAGAGAGACCTGCCCTACAGGGACCTGCCCTAGAGGGACCTGGCCTAGAGGGACCTGCCCTACAGGGACCTGCCCTACAGGGACCTGCCTGATTGGCATTTCAGCACAGGTCCATGGTGGGAACCCAAGGAGAGGGTGCCAGTGTTGGCAGGCCTGGGGGAGGCCAAGTCACCAGGGTACTGGGACAGTGCAGGGTCTGGCAGTGGGGCCAAGCCCAGATTCCACAGCAGGGAATCCTTCCTTCCACCAAGCCATCAGGCCCTCCTCACTGTAAAGCCAGGATCAGGCCATGATGAGGCCTCCACGAAGAGCTGATGTTTCCTGAGCTCTCGAGGCTCTGTCTGTTCACCCCAGAGGTCCCTGGAGGAAGCATTAAAACACCCTCCGTCCCAGGCAAGCCCGCTGGCTAGTCCCTCTAGCAGATGAGAGCCTGTGCAATGTGAGAAGACAGTATAAACTGCGCCTATAAAGCCAGCGCTGTGGAAAGGGTGTGTGCGCAAGGGGCTCAGCTGAGAACAGCAGCTCCAGGCCCCTCTGCAGAGGGAAGAGCTGTGACTGTTTGAGCCCAGCCCCAGGGGGCTGAACCCGCTCTGCCCTCAGGCCGGGCGAGCAAGGGCACCTCCCTGCGCTCTGCTCCCCTTCCCTCCGCAGGAACAGCACTCCGGAGCGGTGACAGCTGCTGGGCCGGCGGTGGCCTTCTCTGTCCCTCCCCAGGGCCAGGCTGTGGACTGAGCGGACGGAGGAGAGAGAAGCCACTGGTGAGGCAACAGGACAGAGCGGCTCTTCCGGACCACTGGCCGGCCCTTTCCCGGGCTCTGCTTCCCTCGGGGACAGGTGAGGGACCGGAGTTTGGTGACACCAAGCGCACCCTTGGGCCAAGGGCCAGGCCGCCAGCTCCCCCCTCCTCCCTGAGAGGAGGGGCGCTGCTCTCCGGCCTGCGGGCGAGGAGGGCGGGACCACAGCCCAGACACGCCCCCGCCTGCTCCCCGCGCCGCAGCCAGGGCGCTCCTGCGGCCGCCCCGGAGGCCAGGCTGGGCTCGGACCCGAGCGCAGGCTTCGTACCCCGCCCCGCAACGCCGCCGCGGCCCCGGGCTGATCGGCCTCCCAGCCGCCCGCAGCGCCCACCCTCCGGCCCCGGCCCCCGGCCCCCGGCTGCGGACATGCGGGCCGCCCTGGCCCTGGCGCTGCTGCGCCTCTGCCTGGGTGAGCGGGCCGAGTGCGGGCGGGGAAGCGGAGGGGCGGCTGCTCTGCGGGGACCGGGGCTGGGGCGGCGGTGGGGGAGCTCCGGGCCCCTCTCTGGCTTGGTCCCAGGGCCCATTGGGTTTCTGGCCGCGGCCTGCCAGCAGAGGGTGGGGCAGAGACCCCACCCCCCCCCAGCGGGTCCAAGTGCCGGTGGGCCAGACCCGAGAGCGGGGCGAAGGGCCCCGTCTGGAGCCACTGCTCTGCTGTCTTCCAGCCAAGGTCAACCTGGCCCCCCACTTCTTCGACAACGGGGCGGGCAGCTCGGACGGAAACATGGCCCTGTTCAGCCTCCCGGAGGACACCCCTGTGGGTGAGGAACCCGAGGAGGGGCCTCATCCCCCAGACATGCCCACCCCCATGCCCGGGGACCATGCCCGGGAACGAGCTGGGGGCGGAGCCGGGCACCCAGAGGCAGGCTCCGGAGGCACATGACGTCACTGCTGGCCCGGCTGCCCAGTGCCCATGGCCTGACCCTGAGCACAGGTGCTGACTCCTAGAGTCGCAGATCTTTAGGCTTTAAAATGGCCCAAGAACACTTACCTGCCTGGGCTACACAGAGAGGAGAGGAGAGACCTGAGTCCTCCCTCCTGGGCTGGGCAGCCTGAGCAGAAGGACTGCAGAGTGCAGGCCCGGGAGCTGACCTGGCCTGGGACTTTGCTGCCCAAGCCACTCCTCCTGCCTGGCCACTGCACCTCGCCCCCCTCACCCTCCAACCCCCCTCCAGGTTCCACTCAGGCTGGGCCTTCGCTGGAATCGCACATTCACTGTACAAACAAGGATCCTTGTTCTGAGCCACTGCCACTGCTGAGAAAAGTTGGGTTCCAGATTCCAGGCCTCCTGTCCCCTTACAGGCTCTCACGTGTACACGTTGAACGGGACAGACCCCGAGGGCGAACCTGTCTCCTACCACATCAGCTTTGACCCCAGCACTAGAAGCGTCTTTTCTGTTGACCCCAGTTTTGGAAACATCACCCTGATTGAAGAGTTGGACCGAGAGGTATTGGGAGGTGTGAGGGTGCAGCCTTTTGACATGGAGACCAGTATCTGTGGGTGAGAGGCCCCCCGAGATGGTCCTTGGAGAGGTCTTATAAGCCACAAAAACTCGGGCTGACCAGGGCTGGTTGCTGGTTTAGGGTGGGTCTGAGTTGGTACAACTCTAGCCTCTGCACCTCGAACCTGCAGTGAGGGGGCAGGGCCCCACGCCAGCTGGTAGACTGGCTGTCCACAGAACGGACCTGTCGGTAGGCACCTGCCAGTTCTGGTCTGGTGCAGCCACCACCAGCCCGGGGCGGGGAGAGAGAAAGCCTCAACACCTTCCCCACTGAAGTCCCGCTGAGTCTTGGGGCATGTGCAACCCCACAGACCTGGCCCTCTGTGGTCTGGGGCTCTGGAGGCTCGGGGGAGACCAGTGGTGTGGAAGGAAAAGGGAGGACATGTAAGACCTTCCTGGACCCGGCCCACAACGCCCCGCTCTAGCCAGGGCCACTTTCTGCCGGCTCCTTGGCAGCCCCCTGGGTTAGGAGAACCTGCTTGCAAAGCCCTGAAAGAAAGCATGGCCAGAGGCAGCTTTGGGACACCAGCCCTGCTCCAGCCTCTTTCAGGCTCAGGGAGCAGGGAGGGTCCCCCCACCCTCCAGCCTCGGTCTCCTGGACACTCAGTCCTGTGCTTTACAGATGGAGGATGAGATCGAAGCCATCATCAGCATTTCCGACGGCCTGAACCTGGTGAGCAGACACCGGGGCCAGCCCCGGCCAGCCCCGCAGCTCAGGCCTGAGCTGTTTCCCAATCCCAACTCCTGGAGGATGGGACTCCCTACAATCCAAGCTGAGGCCCAGCAAGACCTGCCCCGTGTGTCCCCAGGAGTGGCTGCAGGAGAGGCAGCAAGGAGGGAGGCCGGTGGGAAGGGATAGGGAGAGAAGAAAGCCAGGCGCTTCAGTGTCTCCTGGAGTCTTCCCACAGCCACACTCTCAGCCCTGCCATACTTCTTTCCTACAACAGCAGTGGGTCCTGCCTGCAGGCTCCTAGACCCCTCAGCGCTGGGCCAGGGCATCGAGGACCCAAGCCTGGCTAGGACCTGCTCAAGAGCACTAGCAGCTGCCCCCACCCCCTCAGGAGAAAGCCCAAGCCTCAGCCTGGCATTCAGGGTCACCTTGGCCTCGCCCTCCCTTCCACGTTCTCCCCACCAACATCAGCCACAACCTGCTGTGCTCTCTGAGCTCACCAGGGCCCCCTCCTGCTTTGGCAGTGGTGTTCCTTCCCTCTTGTCCTCTCGTCTGACACACTGCTGCGGCTTACCTCCCACTCCACTGCAAGGCGCCCTCTGCCTGCCCCGGGCTGACCGCAGCCTCCAGCACTGTGCACCCGGCCCTCGGGATGCACCTGCCAGTTCTGGTCTGGTGCAGCCACCCCGGGCAAAGTGGGCATGGTGCCCAGGGTCAGGCCTGCCATCACCAAGTGTATCCCACCTCCTTTTACATGCTGACCTTTGCCCTGCCATCTCATTTTGCAAAATAACATGCCACCAGACTATCTTCTGCCTCTGGGATGGAGCACAGTGCTTGGCACCAAGTGGTTGCCTAATAATAATGTTGCATGAATGAATAAAAGAAGGGAGGGGAAGAGAGGGAGGGAGGAAGGAAGGGAGATGGGTAGAGACATATACCTGGGGCACTAGGAGCCACTGTCCTTTTATCACCAGAAGGCCTCACTCCCCAATTCCTGTTTCATTCGCCCTCCTCAGGTGGCGGAGAAAGTCGTGATCCTGGTGACTGATGTCAATGACCAGGCACCCAGGTTCCTCCAGGAGCCGTACACGGTCCAGATTCCTGAGGTGAACTTGGCCCAAGGAAGGGCCCATGCAGTCCTGCCCAGACCCAGCCTGCCCTCTGGGGCTGCCGTGGCACCGAGCCAGGGGCCTCGCATCACTGGCTGCCTCGGCAGCCTCCCTCTCACCCCACCCACTGCCATTCCTCACACGTGCACTCCCCCCAGAGGAATGTTCGCTCACCCTTCTCCTGGTTTCTTGTGGAAATGTGAAATATGTAGAAGAGTAGAGAGAAGAAAGTTTCCATTAACTAGCCAGAAAGTAGATGCAATGCACTCGTTTTGGTGGGTTAAAAAAAAAATGAACTGTCAGTTTCATCGAATCTGAGTCAGTGCTGACTTGTGGTATGTTCCCGATGACTCTCCCACTGGCCAGGAGGCAAGGCCTTTCCTTAGACTTCGTTCTTACACTTTTTACAAAATTCAGAATCAGTCTTTGATCAATCTACATTTAGATATTTTTGTTTTTAGGAAGTTTTGTTACATAATAAAAAAAATGCTATTTTCACTCTAAAAAACAACAACCCCTAACTCCTCCAGGTTGAGGTTGCATTGTCAAATTCCAGTGTATTTCCTTTCAACTGTTTTTGTGATTATTGGATTTATTTTCTGTGTGTTTTAGGTAATTGGAACTACACTAAGCATGCTTTCTGAATACTTTTCCCCCCATTTAATTTGTAAGCATTCCCCCATTACTTTTAAAGTTTGCATAATTATAATTTTAATAGCGCCTGTTAAGTGAACATTGCACCATTTGTGGAACTGTTCCTTTATGTTTAGACTAGAGGTCCGGTGCATGAAATTCGTGGGCTGGGAGGCAGGGGCTGTGCCCTTTGCAATCTGGGAGCTCTGGGGGGATGTCCAACTGTCCTGGAGGCGGGAGAGGCTCCCACCACCACCGCTGTGCTTACCAGCCCAGTTTCTGGCACACTAACCACCAGGGGGCAGCTCCTGCATTGAGTGTCTGCCCCCTGGTGGTCACTGTGCTTCATAGCAACCAGTCTTTCTGCTGTTCAGTCTATTTGCACGTTAGCGGTTTATTATATAGGATATTTAAGATACTTTAAATTTTTGCTATAAGAAACATCAAATTCTGAACATAACAGTTCTTTCTCTCTAATTAGAATTATTTCCTAAAGATAAAGCCAAGATTTGGAATTGCGAGGTTGCAGTGTGAATGCCTGAGTATTGCTGTTTCTCCAGGGTGTGGGGGCTGGGCTCCTGCTGTGGGAGGTGTCGGCGAGGTCTTCCTGGCCCTGCCACACTTGGACTGTCATATATTTAAGTGTTTGCTTCAGTGGGAGAACGTCATTTTATTTTGGTTTCCAATTGTGTGGATTTTATTTCTGGTCATACTGATTATGTCCATGTTTATTAACCCTTTTCTCAGTTCATATTTAAACAGCTTGTCTCCTTGGAGTCTTAGTTTCCTCGTTCTTGAAGGCTGTATGGAGGGTTTGGGGGGGAGTCTGCTTGCTCCTCCTTTTCTCTTCCTTCTCTCCACCCGCCCCCTGCCTGACATACCTCTGCCCCTGCCCAGGGCTTCTGGGCTTATCACCCCCTTCCCACCTCTTCTTAGTCCTTCACTCTCCTGACCCTCTGCACCCAGCTCCCCGGCATCCTGCCCCTCTCCCTGGCCTGACCCCTGTGCACCCCTCAGGACACACCTGCTGGGAGCAGTCTCTTTGAGGTCCATGCTATGGACAAGGACACGGGCTCTGGAGGAAGTGTCACCTACTTCCTGCAGGTGAGCAGGGTACATGCGTGTCTGTACAGAGGTCTGGGCTGGTGAGGACAAATGGCTGACCCCTCTGTCACCAGGCCTTAGGTCAGTGCCTCTACTAGTCCCCACATTGTCAGGAGTGACACATCAGACCCCATGGTTTCAGTGAACGCTGGGGGAGGACAGGCAGGTGAGCACACGAGGGGCAGGGAGGAGGCTGTCTGCTCTTGGCTGCCCCTTCCCATCATCCTCTGAGCTGGTTGCCTCCCCTTCCCTGATCTCCAGGACTCGCCGTTCTCCCAAAACCCTTCCCCAGGAGAAGCTGGGTACTTAATTGGCTCCCAACCCCCATTCCTTGGGAGAAAGCTCCTGTGTCTGGAGCTGCCAGGAGGAAAGGGCATCTATCGGCTGTGAACTCCAACCTGTCCGTCTGTCCATCAGCCCGTCCGTCCGTCCAGCCACCCAGCCAGCCAGCCATCTTCTCTCCATATTGACTCACTTTCTCTCACAATCTCCCAGGCAACACAGCTTGGTGGTTAAACACAGGTTGGAGGGGAAATCTCTTGGGATCCGCAGGTGCTGGAGAAATGTACCCACCTTCCCACTCGGGGGCCGTCCAAAGCCACCTAACGCTCCCAGCTTATCCCTCCCATGTGAGGTGGGGAAGGTGGAAGCATCCTCTCTGGCTGTGAGGTTTAAATCCTCATAAAGTCCAACAACAGCTTCCGACACGGAGGCCCCTCCCAGACGATCTTCTTCTGTCCCCTCACCCTCACCCAGGCGCTGCCTGGGCCTGGTCTCACGCCCAGCTGGTAGGGGTTGAAGCCCCACGCCTCTAGGGAGCTCTGTGCTGACACCCCGCCTGCTGGGCCTGCAGGCCAGGTGCATCCGGAGTTGGAGCCAGCTGTTCCCTGGATGAGCTACGGCCTCTGGAAGGGACCTTCTGGTTCTGACTGAGGGAGGGACAGGGAAACCCAGAGGCCAGAGAGGCTGAGCTTCAGGCTGAGGCTGGCGTCCCTGGGACCCAGGACAGTGTAGATCCCCTTCCGGAAGCAGAGCTGGCATCCTGGGGCCTGCCAGTCCTTCCCTGATATCTAGCTGCCCTTCACGCCTACAGAACCTGCCGGCCACCCAGTTCACCATGGACCGACAAAGCGGTGTGCTGCGCCTCCGGGCAGGGACCACCCTGGACTACGAGAAGGCCCGGGTCCACTTGGTCACTGTGGTTGCCCAGGTACCAGGGAGGGATGGGGCATGCAGTCCTTCCCCAGCCTCTGCCAGGGAAGCTGCACTCGGTGGCAGCGGACCAGGCACTTTGGAGAGCAGGTGCCTGGGTCGGGTGGGGCATAATCTGCTGAGTGGATTCCACATAGATATGGACACATGCTCCCCTCTGGGGGACAGCTAGGCCAGGTTCCTTCCATGGGCCTGGAGATCCCACATCCCAGCATGACCTCAGCCCTGGCCTCTGCTCACCCCCAGACTCACCCCCAGACCCATTCACTGGCCTTCCTCTGTGTGACCAGTTGCCTCTTGGGGCCTCGGTGTCCTGGCCAGTCTGTCCCTGAGGCTTCAGTCCTTGCGCTCCTATGTGGTGGCCTCAGCCCACCTGTGCCCAGGGACAGGAGCATGGCCCCTCGTCAACTGGGCCCAGTCAGACTCTGGTGGGTCCAGGAGGGGATGAGGTTTGGTTCCTGGATGGGTGGGGGGGATGACTCCCTCCTTTGTTACTTGTCCAACGTGACCTCCCTGGAGAAAGCCCTCCTTTGAGAGCCAGACATGGCCAGTCTTGGCATTGTCCCATCCCCCAGCGTGCCTCTGAGAGGGGAACTATTGCGGGGGTGGGGGGACAGGAGAAAACAGCACTCAGAGAGCAGCTCCCCGCGCAGGGGCTGGGGCCACACCATGGAGTCTGTGGGCCACAGCCCAGCCTCTCTGCTCCTGGTCCTCCCAGGACGGCGGCGGGCAGCTGCGGGGTGCGGCTGCGGTGTTCTCAGCCACCACCACGGTCACGGTCAGCGTGGAGGACGTGCAGGATGTGGGCCCCGTGTTCGTGGGCACTCCCTTCCACGGCTGCGTGTACGAGGACATGGTTCCGGTGGGTGACTGTGTCTTTCTCCCACCCTGCTCTGGAAGCCTGAGGGGAGGAAGCAGGTGCTTCTGTGCGGGCACACTGGGCGCAGAACTTCCAGGCACCCCCCTCATTCACACTCAACTCAGACCCGCCCAGAGGCCTGCCCTGCAAGAGGCCGCCAAGAGGCTGGGAGGGAGGTGACAGCCTTGATCTGGGAGTCTTTCCTGCACCTGTGTGAGGTGAGGTGCCCCTGTGCCCCTCAGACAGTGGTTCTCCCATAGTTTGCTGCCAAAGCATGTGAGCCTGGCTGACATCACACAGGCTCAGCTCCAGCGTCTCCCTGTGTGCAGGCTCTGACCCAAGTGTTTGGGCTCCTTTGCATCCCTTCTGCCTTGGGGGAGGCACCCAAACCCCAGCCTCACAAACCCCTCCCTGAGCTTTCACCATCCTCACCCCAGCCCAGCACTGCCTTATCCTCTGCCTGGAACATGCCCTCGGCCTGAGGCCCTTGCCCTCCCTGCTCAGCCGTGGTACCCCTCCATATCTGATGCTATGCACCCCCTCATGGGCATGCTCTCCTCGTATGCACCATAGGGTCCCCCAAACCACAGCCCCAGACTTACAGGGCCCTGGCTGAGGCTTCCTGTGGAATTGAGCTTCATCCCCCATTTTCACTTCCTCAGTTTCGGATTATCCTTGACTTTGCAAAGCAATGGAAAACCCTTTTGGAGGACCATTGCCTGGCCAGGCCCAAGTGGGAAATGTCCCCCTCCTGCTGGGGAGAGTGCCAGCCTCCTCCTACCCCTCCTCACTGGGAGTGGCGGGAGGGTGGCAGGGGTCCTTTGTGCTGCTGAGGATCAGCCAGGAGAGGGGCCTGAGGAGAGCGCATAGAAGGGGTGTCAGGCCAAGGTCAACAAGGCTTGTCTAGCTGTGCACCACGGGGACCAAGTAAAAGCTGGTCCTGGACTCCATGTGCTGGCCCCTCCCACCAGCCTCCCACCTCCCCTGTGACACCTCCAAAAGGTGAGAAGAGGGGTGAAGGGGAGGAGGGCTGAGCGGGCCATGTGGGGAAGGAGGCTAAGTAGTAAGCGGTCTGTGGTGAGAGTCCCTGCAAGGCCAACGGTCCTGTGAGCTCCCCAGAGGGGAGGGGCAATGGAGGCCGGGGTGTCGCTGGTGAGGCCAGCACTCCCCCTGGTGACAGGGCACTGTCTGTGGGCGGGGGCGGGGCTACCACCACCCTAGCCTGCAGCCGGCTGCTCCTGCTCCCCAGGGCTCTGAGGTGCTGACAGTGGTCGCCATGGATGGAGACAGGGGCAAACCCAACCGCCTTCTCTACAGCCTCATGAACGGTGAGCCAGGGCACCTTTGGGGTGCCAGAGCACATTCCCAACTCCTGGCGTCCAGTCACTATGGCTCAGCGGGCAGAGGCTGGCATGGCCTTGCCAGCCGCAGGGAGAGAAGCGTTGGGCGGGGATCTGAGAACAAAGGGTGGGCAGATTTCTTTCCTTTTGTTGCCAGAAAGGGCCTGGTCCTGCATGTCCGGCTGGCTGCTGGCAGTGTGTGGGCTCCTGACTTCCTGCAGGAAAGACTTCCCCACACGAGTGAGGTGACTGTGAGGCAGCGTTTATTGAAGCCGGGATGGAAACCAAGAAAGGCTTCTCAGAGAAGCAGCAGCAGGAGAGCTGGCTGGGCCGCCCTCGCCTCTGGGAGTCAGAGGAAGGGGATCTTGGGGTCAGGTTGACGGGACCAGCCTGCGAGGAGCTGCCACTGCCCATGGCCCCCCAGGTTGCAAGTCTCTGGGGTCCCTTAGAGTGGGGGATGGAGGGGAGGCAATGGAGGGGCGGCTCCCCTGGGGTACAGTGGTGGGCCCTGTGTCTTGAGGGTTTGTTTCTCCCTCACAGGCTGGAATCTGAGGGGAGGCCTTGGAGGTTCCAGGAGAACAGCCCCCAGCTTTCCAGGTGGCTCTTCCGGGCTGTGGTTGCCAGGAAGGCTCAGTGTCAGGGCCTAGGCTGACAGTCATCACGGCTGGTCCTGATGCGGCCAACCTGGCTCTGCGCTTTTCTGGGCCGAGATGTCCTGTCCGTGGGAGGAGTCACCTGTGGGAGGAGTCAGCTGTGGGAGGAGTCAGCTGTGGGAGGAGTTATCTGTGGGAGGAGTTATCTGTGGGAGGAGTCACCTGTGGGAGGAGTCAGCTGTGGGGGGAGTCACCTGTGGGAGGAGTTATCTGTGGGAGGAGTTATCTGTGGGAGGAGTCACTTGTGGGGGAGTCAGCTGTGGGAGGAGTCACCTGTGGAGGAGTTATCTGTGGAGGAGTCACCTGTGGGAGGAGTTATCTGTGGGAGGAGTCACCTGTGGGAGGAGTTATCTGTGTGAGGAGTTATCTGTGGGAGGAGTTATCTGTGGGGGGAGTTATCTGTGGGAGGAGTTGCCTGTGGGGGGAATTACCTGTGGGGTGAGTTGCCTGTGGGAGGAGTCAACAGTGGAGGAGTCGCCTGTGAGGGGAGTTATCTGTGGGGAGAGTTATCTGTGGGAGGAGTTGCCTGTGGGGGGAGTTGCCTGTGGGAGGAGACACATGTGGAGGAGTCGCCTGTGGGAGGAGACACATGTGGAGGAGTTATCTGTGGAGGAGTTATCTGTGGAGTAGTTATCTGTGGGAGGAATCACCTGTGGAGGAATCACCTGTGGAAGAGTCACCTGTGGAGGAGTTATCTGTGGGAGGAGTTGCCTGTGGGGGGAGTTACTTGTGAGGGGAGTTGCCTGTGGGAGGAGTCATCTGTGGAGGAGTTATCTGTGGGAGGAGTCATCTGTGGAGCAGTTATCTGTGGGAGGAGTTATCTGTGGGAGGGGTTATCTGTGGGAGGAGTCACCTGTGGGAAGAGTTATCTGTGGGAGGAGTTATCTGTGGGAGGAGTTATCTGTGGAGGGAGTTACCTGTGGGAGGAGTTATCTGTGGGAGGAGTTATCTGTGGGAGGAGTTATCTGTGGGAGGAGTTGCCTGTGGGAGGAGTTATCTGTGGAGGAGTTGCCTATGGGAGGAGTTACCTGTGGGAGGAGTTATCTGTATAGGAGTTATCTGTGGGAGGAGTTATCTGTGGGAGGAGTTGCCTGTGGGAAGAGTTATCTGTGGGAGGATTTGCCTGTGGGAGGATTTGCCTGTGGGAGGAGTTATCTGTGGAGGGAGTTACCTGTGGGAGGAGTTATCTGTGGGAGGAGTTATCTGTGGGAGGAGTTATCTGTGGGAGGAGTTGCCTGTGGGAGGAGTTATCTGTGGAGGAGTTGCCTATGGGAGGAGTTACCTGTGGGAGGAGTTATCTGTGGAGGAGTTATCTGTGGGAGGAGTTATCTGTGGGGGGAGTTATCTGTGGGAGGAGTTATCTGTGGAGGAGTTACCTGTGGGAGGAGTTACCTGTGGGAGGAGTTACCTGTGGGAGGAGTTACCTGTGGGAGGAGTTATCTGTGGGAGGAGTTATCTGTGGGAGGATTTATCTGTGGGAGGAGTCAGCTGTGAAGGAATCACCTGTGGAGGAGTTACCTATGGGAGGAGTTATCTGTGGGAGGAGTTGCCTGTGGGGGGAGTTATCTGTGGGAGGAGTTATCTGTGGGAGGAGGTATCTGTGGGGGGAGTTTTCTGTGGGAGGAGTTATCTGTGGGAGGAGTTATCTGTGGGAGGAGTCATCTGTGGGAGGAGTTATCTGTGGGAGGAGTCACCTGTGGGGGGAGTTACCTGTGGAGCAGTTATCTGTGGGAGGAGTTATCTGTGGAGGAGTTATCTCTGGGAGGAGTTGCCTGTGGGGGGAGTTACCTGTGGGAGGAGTTGCCTTTGGGAGGAGTCACCTGTGAAGGAGTCACCTGTGGAGGAGTCACCTGTGGAGGAGTTATCTGTGGGAGGAATCACCTGTGGGGGGAGTTATCTTTGGGAGGAGGTATCTGTGGGAGGAGTTTCCTGTGGGGGGAGTCACCTGTGGGAGGAGTTACTTCCTCTTCTTCCTCTTCCTCCTCCTCCTCCCTCTCCCCTCTCCTCCTCCTGCCTCTTTTCTTTCATTCTGTCCTTTTTCTCCCCTCTCCTTCTTTCCTCTCTCCTCTTTATTGCCTTGTCTTTTGATTTCCATTGAGCGGGTGCGCGCTCACACACACACACACACACACACAGGCACACACCCTGTCCCAGGCAAAGTGCATGCACCTGGGCGCCCAATAGAAGTGGATCCAGTCCCCACGGGGCATTGATATGACAGCCCCTCCCCGTGGAGGAGACAGATTGGCCCACGGAGCACATGGGACCCTGCCTGGCAAGGCTCCCGCCACCGCGTGGCCAGCACTGCAGGGCTCTCCTCCGACAGGGAGTGACGACGCCTTCGACATTAACGCGACGTCTGGAGCCATTGTGGTCACCCAGAGCCCGGCCCAGCTCCGGAGAGAGGTGTATGAGCTGCAAGTGCAGGTACTGGCCTTCCCCGCCCTCTTGCCCTGAAGGTACCCAAGGCAAGGAGACTGGCCAGCACGGAGCCCGCCGCGGGCCTGCCTGGGCGGGAGGGATGCGGGGAGAGACAGGGAGGCAGAAGTGGCAAATGGGAAGAGGCGCCACAGAGCACGCCACAGAGCACAGCCAGGCGGTCTGGGGGAGGGCAGGGAGAGGATGGTGACACGGTGTGCCAGCCGGCGGGGAGGCCGAACCAGAACAGGAGTTTGCTGTGCAGGAAAAGTCAGGTTGAAAATTCCAACCTGCACACAGCGCCGGGCGCAGGGAGAGTGCACACGCAGTGCTGTGAAGGGAGGGAAGAGATTGCACAGGATGCCGAGGAGGAGCCATAGTATCTACTGCTGCTTCCCCCTCTCCCCGCCTCCCTGGGCCCAGGGCCCAGGCAGAGCTTGGCAGAGCTTGGCAGAGCTGGACTTCGAGCCCTCTGGCTGCAAAGCGGGGTGGTGCAGTGAGGTAAAGAGAACACTGACTGCAGAGTCCCATACACCTGCCACTCAGTCACTGAGTCCAGGCACTGCCCTCCTCCCCCACCTCGCCTGGTCAGTGGCTCAGTCACTGCACTGGATGGCTCTCCTGTGGCCGTTATAATAGAGCAAGCATGTCAAACTCAAAGGCTCACACGTGCTAGATAAACAAGGTGTAGGTTTATGTGGCCGCAAAAAAATAAAAAGCTGCCGTTTCCATAGAAGCGTGGGTTTGTTTAAACAGACATATGTATTACAGGATATTTTAAAAATAAGCTATGAAATGCTTGTTAAAACGTTTCTTACATTCCGTTATGTTGGCTGGCAGTGTTTGGCATGCTTGGTATGGACGATCACAAACCTAGAGGTTTTGAAACACATTCCTCATTGCAGCTTCTCTGGGTCAGGAGTCCAGGCTCAGCCCAGTGGGTCCCTGGGCACTCCCCTGGCGGAGAATCGGATTTCCTTCCTCGTGGGCAGATGGGCTCAGAGACTCGGCTGCCTTTTTGCTGTTGGCAGAGGTCGCCCTTAGTTCCGTAGACACAGGCCTCTCGTGACAGCTGCCTGCCGCCTCGGAGCGGGTGGGGGTGTCTGCTGGCAGACGCTGTTCGAGCGGCTTGTGATCGAGTCACTGAGTGGTATCTCATTATCTCGTCACCCTTATCGCTAACGAGCCTCTAAGCAGACCACATGCCAGGAGAGAGTGAGGGATGACCACTGGGAGGTGGGCCATGCAGCCGTCCCAGGGTCAGCCTGTCCCAGCACCAGAGCGCCTGTCTCCATCCCAGGTGACTGAGGTCAGCGCTGCAGGGAGCCCCGCTGCCCAGGCCACGGTCCCCGTCACCATCAGGATCGTGGACATCAACAACCACCCACCTGTGTTCTACGGAGAAAGCGGGCCCCAGACCAGGTTCGAGCTGTCCCTGTTCGAGCACCCGTCCCCAGGGGAGATCCTGCGTGGCCTCAAGGTCACCGTCAAAGATGAAGACCAGGTGTGTGGCTCTGCCCTCCACCTGTCTTCCTGAGAATCGCATGGAGCCAGTCTCACACAGGGTCTGCATCAGCCTTCACTGCTTGTCACAGGGCATGTGGCCCCCGCGGGAACAGAGCAGAAGGGGAACCCAGAAAGCTTGGGAGAGGCTGGCAAAGCCTGATTGGCCAGACATTCATGATTAGTTATAAAGTCAAAGTCAAACACAAGCACCGCCCGCCTGCCTGGCTGGGTGGGTCTGTGAATGTGGCCCTTGCACCAGTGTGGGGCGCGGCCTCGGGCCTTGGGGTCTCCAGTGCGGTCCTCACAGCCGTTAACCCTCCAGACAGGTCTCTCGCCTTCAGGAAGAAGGAAATCTTGCCTCCACAATGAGGGCTGCTGAGCATGAGTTCTGTTCTCATTCACCTTCTTGTTTCCTCTCCAAACCTCCACCCAGGGCTCCAATGCCAAGTTCGCCCTGCAGCTGCTGGGGTCGGGGGGCGCCTTCTGCGTGGTCCCTCAGACAGCTCTGAAGGAAGCCCAAGTCACAGTCCTCACCGAGGACTCAGCCGCCATTGACTTTGAGAAGTTCAGAGTGTTAACCTTCCAGGTATGTGGCGCGCTGCGCTGCCAGGCACAGAGCAGGGCCTGGCAGCTCAGGCAGCCCTGGATGCATTCCTGAGGGCCCCTGAGCCCCTGCCCCTCCTCATCCTACTCTCTCTCAGACCCTTTGCCTTGCTCCTGACTTGGGGAGGGAAAAGAAGGTGACATGAGAGCCTCCTCCTGTGGCCACACAGCTTCTCTGAGCCTCAGCTTCTAACCCACAACTACGGACTGCACGGAGGGCCAAGGGGAGACTGCAGTAGGATGTGCATGTTACTAGGTGGAGAGCCCCGCTCGTGTGGCTCAACAGATAGAGTGTTGGTCTGGGGACTGTTTGATTCTGGTCAGGGCACATGCCTGGGTTGCAGGATCCATTCCCAGTAGGGGGGGTGCAGGAGGCAGCCGATCAATGATTCTCATCATTTCTATCTCTTCTCCCTCTCCCTTCCTCTCTGAAATCAATTAAAATATATTAAAAAAAAAAAACAGGTGGAGAAAGAAACACTACTTGTCACAATACATTTTCTTCTTATATACATTTGACATCTGTCACCTACTCTGATAAAAACTTTAGCAAAACATAAAAAATACTCCTTAGTATTTGCAATTATTTAAAACTATAAACATATAAACAACATCTATTACACACATAAACACATAAGTAATATATATTAATAAAAATGAAAAATACTTTGTTGATATTATTTAAATTATTATAATTACTTATAATTATACATACACACACAGAGCCAGCATCATTCTTTTTTCAAATATATTTTTATTGATTTTAGAGAGTAAGGAAGAAGAGAGAGATAGAAACATTAATGATGAGAGAGATTTATTGACTGGCTGTCTCCTGCAAGCCCACACTGGGGATGGAGCCTACAACCTGGGCCTGTGCCCTGACTGGGAATTGAACCATGACCTCTTGGTTTATAGACCAACACTCAACCACTGAGCCATGCTGGCTGGGCAAACCAACATCATTCTTAAAAGTGAAATTTAAAAGCATTCTATGAAGCCAGAAACAAAACATAGATGTCTGCTATAACCACTATCATTTAAATACTATTCCTGAAATAATATTATTCCTGGATAAAGAAGGAAAATAAGAGGTATAAACATTAGAAAGGAAAAGACAATTTTATCATTTCTTAATTGATGTGATTGTTTGCTTAGAAAAACCTAAGAAGAATAGAAAAATAGTCAGAAACACAGCAAAGTTGTTAACCTGATTGGCTACAAAGTTAACACACAAAATTCAATAATTTTCCTACATACAACAAATAGCAATGGAAATAATAGGATAAAGGTTTTTCTTTTACAAAAACAATTAGCAAAAACATTTTCTAGGAATTCCTATAACAAGAAATACGGTACATCTAAATGACAAAAAAAAAAAAAAAAGCAAAAATTTAACAAACAGATAAAAAGAAGAAAACCCTGTTAAAAATGCCAATTCTCCTTCATAAAGAATTAAATGCCACCTCAATTAAGTCTTATCTAGAATTTCCATCAGAGAGGTGGTGAGGGGACTTGACACTATCTAGAGAAATAAATATATAAACACTAGGGGTCCAGTGCATAAATCCATGCACTTTGAAAGGGACTGTGGGCCTCGAGGCTGCAATGGGCACAGGGGCAGGTCTCAGCCCCTCCTCCACACCCTACCCAGGCCTGATTGCCTCTCAGGAGCAGGGGGAGGTGGAGAAGCTCTCAGGGGTGATCAGGGCTGGCAGACGCCACTCGCACCCACTGATGGTGCTAAGTGATTGGTACCGGTGCTGGGTGCAGGCAGCGGGTGCGAATGTGAGCAGGGCTGGCACCAGCAGCAGGTGAAGCACAGTGTGGGACCGTGGCACATGGGAGCAAAGAATTTTCAGTAACCACCAGAGGCTTGCCCCGATGACTAACAGAACCTTGACTTGGTCTGGCGCCTCTGCTCACCTGCTCCACCATCATCCCACTGTGCCCAACGCCTTCTGTGTTTCGTGCTCTGCTCCCTGCTGCTGACATCCACCATGTTCCACACTTGGCTTCTGGTGGTCAGCCCATGGTTGTTCAGGTGTTCTGCAGTTCGGTCTATTTTCATATTAGGGTTTTATATATAGATAGTTGGGAAAACTCAGAAAAAAAAAGAATGAGGCAGGAATTTGCTCTAACAAATATCAAATTATAGCATAAAGCACAATAAATTTTAAATTTGGAACTAAAAAGGAATATGCAGATTAGTGGAACAAAAGAAACTGGCGGAAATACTAGTGGGAACTATAAGAAAGCTGCCTGTGTAAGTTGGTGGGGGAGTGATGGAAACCTTCCAGGTGCCTCCTGTGGTGGCGGCAGGAACAGTGGCTGAGAGTCAGGACTGAGAAGAGGCAGGTGGACCTAGGCCAGGATGAGAAGAGGATCAGCACCTGACCTGCCTCCCTTCCTCCCTCCCCAGCTCCTGGCCACTGAGGTGGACACGGCCGAGAAGTTCAGTGCCACCGCGCATGTGGTGGTGCAGCTGCTGGACACCAACGACAATGCCCCACAGTTCACCTCTCCCCACTACATTGCCAGGGTTCCTGAGGACGCCCCCGGGGGCTCCACTGTGGTGGCCGTCAGGGTGGGTTGGGGACTGGTTCCAGGACAGGATCGGGGTGGGGCTCTCCGAAGGAGTCCTTACGAAGTCAGACAGGCCTAGGCTGCAGCCTGAGTTGTGATCTCAAGAGCCTGCCCTTGATAGGCTTCCGGCCCTCAGGGAGCCCCCAGGGTTTCTTCTTTATGATGGGATGCAGGAGGGAGGCATGAGTGTGAGCCCCAAGCTCAGGCACGGCCCCGCCTCCTTCCCTCTCACTGACAGAGGAGGAGGATACACACCTTGCAGATCTACACCCTTTGGGACCTCACACACTTGAGATCCCCTGGGCTGTGGGAAGCCTCCATCAGTTTCTACCTGAGCCAGGCAAACCTTACCCTCCTGCTTTGCCATTGAAAACAACTCAGAACTGCCAGTGTGCCCACGAATAAGGCAGGTACCACAGGGCGCTTTCTCTTCCAGGCTGTGGATGTGGACACAGGCCCCCGGGGTGAAGTCACATACTTTGTCTCCGGGCCGGAGGCAGACCTGTACGTAGACCCAACCTCAGGCAGGGCCTCGGGCAGGGCCTGGGAGGCTGAGGGTGGACGGGTTCTGTGCCACAGTCAAGAGTGAGCTGGGGAGGACAGGACTTGGTCTCTTGGAGTGGAGGTTAAGCAGAGACCCAAGGCGAGGTGCAGGGCTGAAGAGGGGAGGCTCCCAATGGCTGGGAGCTGAGGCCCTGACCTCAGGAGCCACCAAGCAGCTGCCGGGAGACCGACAGTGGCAGGAGGGGCATGTCCTTTAGTTGGTGGCAAATGGGTGGACCTGCCTCTCTTGGTGAGACTGCAGGGATAGGGGGCCTTAGAGGAGCTGCACAGTTACAGGCACACATGTTCATGTGCATGTCCATGTGTTCATGTGTGTCCACATGTGTCCATGTGTGTCCACATGTGGGCACACCCTGCCTCATCTCTATGCCTGCCAGCTTTCAGGTCCACTCCTCCACGGGGGTTATCTGCACGCAGCCCTGGGCCAGCCTGGATGCTGAGGCCACTGCCAGGTACAGCTTCCATGTAAGAGCAGAGGATGCGGGGGGCAGGCATGACCTGGCCAATGTGACCGTCTTGCTGCTGGATGTCAATGACCACCCCCCCCAGTTTGGACAGAGCATCCAGGAGAAGACGATGGTGCTGGGGACCCCTGTGAAAATTGAGGTGGGCTTCAGGTAGCTCAGCGGCCCTAAAGCCTTGTTTCACAGCTGCAAGAGACAGTGTGGCTAAGAATTTATTTCAAAACTAGAGGCCTGATGCACAAAACTCATCATGAGGTTGGGGAGGTCCTCCGGCCCAGCCTGCACCCTCTTCAATCTGGGACCCCTTGGGGGATGTCTGACTGCCTCTAAAAATCTGAGACTTCTGGCTTCTAACTGCTTGCCTACCTGCCTGCCTGCCTGATTGCCCTAACTGCTCCCCTGCTGGCCTGATGGCCCCTAACTGCCTCTGCCTTGCCCCACACCCAGGACCCAGGATTCCCTCCTCCAACCGATCGCAGGCACCCAGGACTGGGCTGTCTTTGCCTGGGCCGGCCACAGCCACAGGAGACTGTGGATACGCAGCTTGTCCCTCTACGGACGGGATCACAGCCTGGCTGATCCCCTTTCCTCTCTCCTCAGTGTTGAGTGTCTGAGCAGTTACGGTGTGATGGCATGATGACCATTTGCATAGTAGCTCTTTTTAAAAAAAAAAATATTTTTTATTGATTTTTTACAGAGAGGAAGGGAGAGAGATAGAGAGCTAGAAACGTTGATGAGAGAGAAACATCAACCAGCTGCCTCTTGCACACCCCCAACCAGGGATGTGCCCGCAACCAAGATACATGCTCTTGCCCGGAATTGAACCTGGGACCTTTCAGTCCGCAGTCCGACGCTCTACCACTGAGCCAAACCGGCTTCGGCTACATAGTAGCTCTATATTACATAGGATACCATATACTGAATTCTCGCTCTGGGCTAGGGTTTTAAGGTAACTGCTGGGTCCCCACCCTCACCTCAGCCCAGAAATAACACCTGGGAAGCAGATGTTATTGTGGCTCCACCAAACAAAGGATGGAGTCCAAACACAAACAGGCTCCTCCGATGGGCTGTGCTGGCTGGCGCCAGTCCCACAGCAGGTCTCAGAGCCACGCTTTGGCCACTATGCAGGTTTCCCCTGAGGAGAAGTGTGACCTCTGACCCCAAGCCTGACCTTCAGCTCTCACCTTCACCATCTGTCCTCAGACCCGCCACCTGGTATCCCAGCTTTTGTTTCCAACAGCACCTGCTTCCAATAGTTCTGAGCGTGGGTGGCAGGCACAGGTCGGGGGCCTGGCAGGGTGCTGGCTCACAGTGGGGCACACACTCAATTTCTCTCCCGGCTCCAGGCCACTCTGTGGGTCAGAACCTGTCCCATCGGCCCAGGCAGCTCAGACGGGACATAGCATGTCCCATCAACCCAGTTGTGCCCGGGCAGCTCAGACAGGACACAGTGTGTCCTGGAAGCCCAGCTGCCCTTCTCCCTGTGCTCAGGCCACAGACCTGGATGCAGAGGCACCCAACAACCTGGTGGACTACTCCATCATGCGCGCGGAGCCGGCCAGCGTGTTTGACATCAATGCACGCACGGGAGAGATCAGGCTCAAGAGCTCCATCCGCTCCCTGGACGCCCTGTGCAATATCACATACAATGGCGACTGTACATGGGCCCTGGAGGTGCAGGCCAAGGACCGTGGCTCCCCATCCTTCAGCACCATGGCCGTCCTCAGAATTGACATCACAGATGCTGAGGTGGGTGTGAAGCTCGGGTGGGGAAGGCTCCGAGAGCCTCTCAGGCCTCACTGCAGCATGACCAGAGGGAGACACCATCTCCAGCTTCCTCCGAAAGACTCAGTGTTGAGCAGGCTTATGCACCATCACATACACCAGCTTTAGGATGAAGTTGAAGTCCTAGTTTCAATACTCACTAATGGACTTTTCCAGGCCTCCACTTCCTTTTCTATAAAATGGGAATAATGATGCCTCCTTGTTATGGGTGTTGACAGCGGAAGTGAAATCATGTATAGTTCTCAGGTAAATGTCAGGAAGAAAAAGTCATTATTTTAAGGCATTCCTATTACATTCAGGCAGGTGTGGCTCCCATAATCAAAGGTAAATTACATCCTGCTCTCTGGAAAACAGAATCCAGATAATGAGAAGGTCTAGATCAGAGAGAGGATGTTGCATCATGCTTTCACTGGGTGCATTTCCGGGTGAGGCACAGGCACCGTGTGCTGTTCTCTGGTGCATTTTTCTGGAATGAAGCCCACAGTGCTCACCAGACTCTCAAGGGAGACCTGGTGTCAGCAAATTCAAAACCATTGGACTTCCGGGAGCTTGTGTCCTCGCTCTGTCCTTCCGGGACCAGCAGGGGCCACTGAGTGAGATGGCTCTCTCTTCCAGATGCTGCCCCGGACCTCCATGGACACCTTTCTGACACAGACCAGAGACGAACCTGCGAAGGCTGTGGGTGTGCTGGCCGGCGCCATGGCCATTACTGTGGCCATCACTGCCCTTGTGTCCACTGCCACCTTCTGGCACAAGAAGTCCAACAAGGTCCTGCCAGTGCGGCGCGTGCTTCGCAGGCGGCCCTGCCCTGCCCCCCTCCCTGCTCACAGCAATTGGCTCAAGTGCAATAGGACTGAGGCTGCAGCCAAGTTTGTTCTCAAAGAGGATCCCCCTAGTGAGAACTGCAACAGCAGCCTGGGGAGCCTTCCATCCCCCAGAGCCCCAATGCCCCCTCCTCTACCCAGAGTGGCACCCGTCCCGGGGGCACCCCCCTCGACTGTGCTCACAGTCTCTGGCTCACTCACCTCTCTGCAACCTCGAGGGTCACCCAAACACAGTGCCTCGGGGAGCCCCATCCAGTCAGCTCTGGTCTCCGAGCTCAGGCAGCAGTTTGAGAGGAAGAGTAGAGCTGACAAGGAGCACTTTTAGAGAGCAGCCAGAGTCCCTCTCTTTCCCACCTCCTTCTCCCCTCTCTGCTCCTTAGGGTCACCCTGTTTTGTATGATAGTGTAACCCCTATATTCAGGGCTCTGGATAACACCGCGGGGCAAGGGGGTTCCTTGGTTCCGGGTGCGATGGGCCAGTACTTCCCATTGATCTGGTGCTTGGCAGCTGCTCTCCATTCAGCAGAAGCCGGGAATCAACTAGGAGTCGGCTCCGTCTCCTGCTCACAATCCCAGACCACACCCCTTGGTTCTCCTGTGGCCTCCGCACGTCAGGCGAGGAGCGAGGGTGGCTCCTGGGACAAGGCCGTCTGGAGCCCCGTCCTGGCGCTCCAGCGGAGAGCAGGGCAGGAAAGCAGGCCCAGTGCTGGTTGGGGCTGGCGGTCAGCAGCCTCGCAGACTGAGGGAGAGCAAATGGGCAGGAAAGGTAGAGCTGCACTGGGAGCACGCAGGCAGCTGACTGTGAGGCTATGCTGGGGTCCCTGGCAAGGTGTGGGGTGGGCAAAGTGTTTGAGCAGAGACCGTGGGTCCTCCTGTGCCCACGGGAACCAGGGACACGGGTGTAAAAAGGGCCTTGCAAGAGGGAGAGTGGATGCCTGGCAGGGCTTCCCTGAGCCCAGAGTGTTCAAGCTGGAGCGGGGGTGGGCGGGGCGGGGGCGGGGTCCTAGTGGCCTCAGGAAAAGCTTCAGGTCCCTTGCAGAAGGAGCTGTCCCCTCCCCCCACCAAAGCTGTGGAGGGAGTAGGTAGTTGTCAGGACTGGGATCTGAGGAGACCTACGCTCTTCTCCTCCATGGTGTAGCCGTCTGGAAGCTGCTGGAACTCCCAGCTCATCCTCCTCGTTTGTGAGATGAAAAAAGTGAGTCCTGTGGCCCGCACTCAGGTCCAGGGTGAGCGGGAAGTGACAGTGGGGACAGGGCTTTCACCAAGTGCAAGCAGCACCCATGGGTTCTCCGCAGGCTGTTCTCGGGGTGAGCTCTTCCAGGAAGTGTCAGGGACTCTTGGCTGCTCTGCTGAGCACCCCAGGAAGAGCTGTGCGGGGCGAGGGTGTTGCCACTGACTTGGCAGCCAGAGCAGGAGGTGGCATTGCCGGGTCCCTGTCCCCAGCCCCTCGGCGCAGCCAGCCCAGCCTCCATCTGCAAGGTGAGAGGAGTGGGCCCTGGGGCTTGTCCGCGGCTCCCAGCTCCACAGCCACTGGAGGGCACCCAGGGAGGAGCCCCAGGCCCCCCACCCCCCACCCCACCCCGAGAACATAGAGGCTGCAGCCCTTCAGGAAATGGGACAGGCCTTTGCATGTTGCCACCTCATTAAGAACCCTCTAGAATTTGCCAGTGATCTTATTCAAGCAGGTGATGTGCACATGTGGGGTACTGGTTCTGAGGAAATTGGGACGCTCCTCAGGAGGGCCACGCAGGCTGCTGGCCAGGCTCCTGCAGTCCCTGCCCCCGGAGTAGTGACAGGTGGGCTCTGGGGAGCCAGATGGCCTGCAGAGTGTCAGGCGGCAATGGGCCAGGTCATGTCCCAGCGGCCCGCAGCCGCTCCTCTGTGAAGGTAAATACCACCTCCAGCAGCCACACCTCTGGATCCTGCTGAGGCTCCAGGTGGTCTGGATCCTGGTCCTGTCAGGCGTGACTTTGGGCCTCACTTCCTCTTAAGCACAAGGATGACAGGAGCTGCCTAGGCAAGACCGCCTCCAGCTCTGTGCGTGCAGCACAGCGGAGACCGCTGCTGTTCTTGGTTGTAAAACAGGACTGAGCATGACAAGGGTCTCCACGCTGAGCACCAGGTCCTGGGGGTGAGGCCCTCAGGCATCCTCATCTCCAAGATGTTCCCCCACCGCTAGACCTGACCCCAGCACACAGGCAGCATCTCTGGGCAGACAGCGAGGCTTCCGGGGTCAGGGAGATAGGAGGGACACCACATGGAGATGGGCATGCACCCATGGGAGACCCTTAGGGGTCACAGAAGTCACTTGGAAGGAGGCGGTGCTTGGAAGGGCCCAGTTTCCAGAATGAGGCGGGGATGGCCTGAGACTGTTTGTGATCAATAAAGAAGTGGCTGATTTTGCAGCCACAGGCTGGCGATGCTGGGGTGTCACAAGGCCATGGAATCCTGCAAATGCATCTCCAACTGAATAATTCCAGCATCCACCAAGTGGTCATCTCTGCCAGGCCTCTCCAGGAAGGAGACGGCTCTCGTAACCAGAGGAAGACAGGACAGACAGGTGTCCTCCCATGGTGCCGTGTGGAGCCAGGCCAGCAGAGTGCATTCTGGAGACGAGAAGCCTGCACATCCTCTCTCCTGAGTCAGAGGCATTGGCCTCAAACTGCATCGTCAGAACTCTGAATACTAATTAGACATCAATTAACCAGAACATCTGAAGGATATTAGCAGAGGTAGCATGTCATCACATATATATTTATACATGTACACATGTGTGTGATCCTAATAAGCTCTGATGCTCCAAACAGCCAAGTGTGTATGCTGGGTCACATTCAACACACACACACACACACACACACACACACACACACACTCACACAGCCTGACACATCGTGAATGGTGATAACATTTATTGTGGTGATGCTTACTGAGGACTTATTATGTGATAGGCATTGTTCTGACAGCTTCAGTTCACATGTAAAAACTCATATAACCATCCAGACAAGCCCATGAGGTAGATGGGAACTATTTTTACCCCCACTTTACAGATGAGGAAGTTAAGGCACAGAGCAAAGCCGTAACCTGACTGATGTTCCAAAGCAAGTATGAAGCAAAGCTAACATCCAACTTCAAGAAACTGGGTGCCAGTGTCTGCTCTGGCTCCCATATCCATGTTGCCCATCAATCCGAGGAATGCACGTCTTCATGCAAGGATTTTTTGCAGGGACATAGAAGGGTCTTAGAGAGCAAGATTCCCAAGAATCCTCCACAGGCCTTCTCCCTCCCTCAGTTTTCACACTCACAGAAGCAGCTGAGCTGCCCAGTGCACAGACATGCTCCTGACCTCGAAGGCAATAGGACAGGTTCTGGCCTTGCTCTAACCATTTTCTTTAAAACTTATCCCAGGAAGTTTCACAGGAACAAATTCTACTACTGTGCATCTATGGATATGTGATTTGTACAGGTATAAGTATATATGTACATAAAATGTAAAAATATGTGCTCTTCATTGTGAGGAGTGTCTGTTATAAATAAAGCTAGAGGCTCGGATGCACAAAATTCATGCAAGGGGAGGCCTTCCTTCCCCTGGCTGCTGGCACTGGCTTCCCTCCAGCACCGGCTTCTCTTGCAGCACCGGCTTCATCTGGAAGGTCATCTGTTCTAATTAGCATATTATGCTTTTATTATTACAGATAAAATAAAATAAAATGCTCACAGGTGCTACAGAGCTTTGTGTTTGCCTTTAAATATTCCAGTGTTGTTGTTTTTTTAAGTTGGGGGTGATGATTAGATGAAAGGAGACTAGAAAATGTTAAAAAATCATTGAAGCTGCCCTGGCCAGTGTGCTCAGTGGTTAGAATGTCAGCCCATGCACTGAAGGGTTTCGGGTTCAATCCCCAGGCCTGGTTGGGGTGTGTGTGAGAGGCAACTAATCAATGGTCTCTCTCACACCGATATTTCTCTCTCCCTCCTGCCTTCCACTCTCTTTAAAAATCAATGGAAAAAACATCCTTGAGTGGAGATTAGCGTACACACACACACACACACACACACACATTATTGATTCTGACTGAAGGGGAGGATGAGATTCTCTCTACTATGGTGTGTGTCAGAGTCAGCAGGAGTCCTGTTCAGCACTGCTGTTCTAGTCCACGTGTTCTCAATTCTTCCCAACTCTGCCGCGCAGGTCTTTCGAACCCTGCCCGCTGTACTAACTTAGTCCAAGTTCCTCCTTTGTCCTCTGCTCACTAGTTACAGGTGGTGGGTCTGAAGCTCCTGGGATGCTGGGTCTCAGACGGAGAGGCCATGAGAGGCTGTGGGTGTATAAGGATGAGTCTTTATTGAAGAAGCCAGTAGCCATATAGCCATCAGACAAGACAATTATTCACAGCAATCCCATACAGGCAGCCACACAATGGCTGGTGAGCACATCTTTCCCATGAAGCAGCTGTCTGAGCAGGCGCACACTGCCCGCCTCCCCGCCTCCATCGCAGCGGCCCATGCTCTCCCTTGGGCTGCAGCCTTGCGCCTCTCGGGCTCAGCAGCTTCTCCGGCTTCCCTGCCCGCACACTGCGGAACACGTAGCTGACCCGGAGCTCTCCATCGGGCAGTGCCGCTCTCGGCTCCCGCCAAGCTCTCCTCTGTGCTGCACACGTAGGAGCTACATTCTCTGTTCCGATGGCCTCTGCGTCTCTGAGCTCTAGCCTCTGTGCTGCTGGCTGCTCTCTCTCGCAGCTCCGGTCAGCAGCCTGTATTACTCCAGAGGCAGAGAAGGTTAGCTGCCAACAGCGACATCAACCCTTTTATTACAGAAGGGCACAGTGTACCGTGTGTCCTTGCACCCACTTATGGTGTCTGAGCACCCGATGAGGCTCATGCTCAGAGTGGCCTGGGCCATTCCAGTGATTGACATCAAGGCCTCTGTGCTCCCCCCGGCCCTGACTATCCAGGGACCTGGTGTGGTTCCCTCAGAATGACTGAACATTTCCATTAAAAAGGGTTTTTCCTCTAATGCTTGGGGGAAAAAATAATAGAACTTGGAGAAATGGGGGAATATGAAAGCAGTTTTCAATTTTAAAGAATTTGTTTCAATCAATATTGATTTTCCAAATAGTCTAGGTTGTGAGTGGGCCCAGCAGCTACAGCAAGACGGTGGGTCTCACCTAGAGGGCTTGCAGCTGACGGAAACATTGCTTGTCCTGCCGGACCCATGGCCTCTTTTCACGGGACATGTTAGGTCCCGGGAGGCTAATGGGGGCCCTGGTACTTGAGACAGGCCAGGAGGATGAGAGGGCATGGGTAAGGAGGGTGGGAGGGGGAAGCGGTG